CGGCGTCTGTCTCACCAAACACTGTGAACAGTCACTCGGGCTATGGACCTGACTGGATTTCACTCATGCCTGGACACCAATTTTTCACTTCTAAGTATCTCTGAAAGCAAGTCCATTCAATATCACCTTACAGCTAACATTAAGTAGATGTCCTACCACTAAAGGGCTTCTACAAGTCAAAGCAACTGTGGTCTTGGCTGGCGGTAAAGAGGGTCTAATTGTCCACGGTGTCTGCATCAAACACCCCCCACCAAGCCAGGCTCTACTGCCCTGTGGTTCTCGGGGCACCGCTCACGTGCAGGTGGCATGGGCACAGAGCAGCACTGGTGGAGGGGAGGCGCTGCTATTAGCTCTGTGCCTGCCCGAACTCAGGGCTCCTGGAGACCAGTCCTGCAACGTTTCCTCAAGGCACCCACCCTATGCCAGAGATGCGGGAGCCTGGGAAATGTAAGCTGTGGGGCCTGAAAGGCCAAGAAAAAGCTTTATGCCAAGAAAGGTCAGGGAAGCAGCTCACTGGGCCAGCTCTCTAATTTACTGTGTGACCTCCAGGAAGTCACCGCCCATCTCTGTGCCTGTATAATGCATGGTGGCCCAAGCAGCCTTGAAGACCTACTAAGTTCATGCTTCACCTAAGAGCTATGGGATCTACTGCAAGGGAAGGACAATCAGGCTAGGGAGAAGAGGAGACCCATGTGTAAGAGGCCTCCTGTGTGCTCTCAATAGGGTCTCAGACTCTTCCAAACACCCCAGGCACAAGGAGACTACTAGGCCAGAGAATCTGAGATCCTAAAAGCTGAAGATCAGCAAAACAAGGACTTGCAGGGGGGCAGGAGAATAGTGATTGAAGGAATTTGACATAGCAAGTCACGGGACACCTGACGGGTGGGAAACAAACTGAGGTGGTCCAAGACACCGGAGAGAAGCATCTAAGGAAGAACACTCAGGAACTACGGAGGAGCCCTGGCTTCTGGCTACCAGCACATCAGGGCCCTGATGCACACTCAAGCCTTTATTGGGAAGGGAAACTGCTGAAGATAGCTCCCAAGATCCTCACTGTCCACGGCAGCTGGAGCCTCCTCTGCCAAGTCCAAGAAAGAAGGGACTGCCACACTGGGCCCTTAGCAGGTTCACGTGTAGAGATCAAAATCAATGCGTTTGGAATTATAGAACTGACCGCCTGGTGGGTCCAGCTTCCGGCAATAAACACCATCCGGGAAGTAGCCTTCACTCACCCAAGTCTGTAGAAGAGAGGACAGAGCTGAGGCGAGGTGACAGAAGCTGGGATGGACAGACAAGACAGGAGGGGAGACTCACCTGCATCTGGGCGCTGGTGAACGGTCCATACAGCTCGGCGTCCCCCGTGTTCTCCCACTTATACTCCCACATCACATCCGTCAGACCGTCCCCCGCGGACTCTGCTTCTAAGACAGTGAAGACATCTGGGCCTCAAGTGCCCAGTCTCCTGCCTGCACCGCCCCTCCCGTGTCTCACGCTTACCTCCTTTATGGGTGGGGGTTGGGGTTTCCAGTTCCCCCTCAGTCACTTCCTCAGCAAACATGTCCAGGGAGGGTGGAGGTGTGGGGTCATGGGATCCCTGAGTCCGACACCCCAAACCCTTCAGTCGCATAGCCAACCGTTCCCTTGTTTCCTGGTATACACCAAGATTGCCTCGAGCCACCATTTGGTCGGCCAACCCAGAGAGCCGGTCTAGGCGCTGTGGGGAATTGGGCCGTCCAGACCCCTTGCTGTCCCCTTTGCCTCCTCCTCGGGCCCCCAGACGCCTAAGTGCCCCAGCCACTGTCTCTCTTGGCAACAGCAGCTCCAAAAGTCCCTCCAGGAGGGCTTGGGCACTCATTGGAGTCTGACCCAGGCTGTCTTCGTCCTCTGAGTCTGAAACCTGGTGCTTATCAGGTGGCCGCTCCTTGATCTTCACCTGTAAGGGAAAAACAATTATTATTTCCTACAAACTTCCACCAGGGCCCAGGCCCAGCACCTGCATTCCCAGGCCTCAGCCAGGACAGCTCCTGGGCCACACCCAGTCAATGTTGTCCAGCCAGCTGTCTCGGATCTGTGCATCCTGGTTCAGGAAGTAGTTGCCATCAGCATCAAAGTGGCCTTCCTCCATCTCTTCCTGCAGGTTGAAGGGCGTGATCCTCACACCCCCCTCACTAGGCAGAGTAGCTGCTTCCTGACCTGCACCAAAGACATGGGGGCCCCAAGCTAGGCATGCCAGAGACAGGAACACTTCCTGTCTCCACAGCCACGCTTGCCCTCCAGCACGCTGATGCTCTGGGAATAGCTCACCTTCTACATCCTCTGAGGCCAGGATATCATACTTGCTGGACCCCTCCTCTTCATCTTCCTCATCGCTGTCTAAAGAGTGTTTGCCTTTGAAGCGGCTCCCAGGACCCCCTGCGCCAGCCACAGGGTCCACCAGCTATGAGTAGAAACCAGCAAATGAGAAATGCAATCTACTGCTAGCTTCCCAAGTATTCCAGGATCTGTCTCCAAACTGAAAACCTACCAAACCCAGTGCACTGGGGCAGACTAACCCTTCCTTTCGCTTCCCGGTTTTCCTCCCATCAGACTTCTCCCTTTTATTTCTCCTCAGTCCTCCACAGAAATTAGGAGTCTGACCATCTCACCTTCTTTTTGGGGACACTGATTTCATCTTCATCATCCTCATCTCCCACACCTTGAAAAGTCACTTTCCTCTTTGGCATGACCGACAGAATACTTCCTCCAGCTGGACCTCGCAAAAAAGATACGGAGTTAAGGACATGAGGTAAGGAGAGCCGGCCGCGAGAGCGCTCGGGCAGCACCAACATTTTCCTTGGTAAGTGCCAGGTCCCGCGCGAGAGAGGAAGGATCACGGAACCATCTCAAGAGCGAGCAGGCAGGTCGCTGGACTTGCTTTGGCAACTCAGAGGCGCTAAGGGAGGATCTCCGCCCCCGCGTGGACCCTGCGCGTACTCCCACCCAGGAGAAAATAGCCAGGCTCCCCCTACGTCGTCACTCCCCTACCAGTCCGGAGCGAGCGAGCTCCACCACTCTCCCACCCGGGTGCCCACAGAGGCCGGTCGGACCCAAGAGCTGGCGCCCTAGTTGCTTCGGACCTCCAATTCCACGCAGCGACCTGCTCGACCAGGTCAGAGTCGGCGCACTAATTAGAGAGGAAGCAAATTCGCGGGGATTCGAACAGTCTTACCGGCTTGCGCTCACCTAGGAACCCAGTGTCAGGCGGGGAAAGAAAGGAAAGATGCGTTCGCCAGTATTACATCCGGGATACTCGGTTCCATAACCCGGAAGGAAACTGTGGAGACCTCCATAAGGCCGGAAGTGGCTTCTCTGCCATCCAAGACTGTCGGAACGGGCGGGTGTATACGTTTGGCCAAGGCAGTCTCCGCAGGAAGTGACGTAAGACCCCAAAAGACTCGCGTGAACTCCTGTGCCTGCCTCACCGACTTGAGGATGGCGGGAAGTATTTATTATTCCTGAAAGGGAGGCTCTGGTGAGGACGTGGCGCTCTGTCTGCTTAAAGAGGCGCCCAAGGCCGGGCGTTGGTGACGCATGCCTTTAATCCCAGCACTCGGGAGGCAGAGGCAGATGGATCTCTGTGAGTTCAGACCAGCCTAGTCACAGAGCGAGTTCCAGAACAGCCTCCAAAACTACACAGAGAAACCCTGTCTCGAAAACAAAACAAAGAGGTGCCCAACGGCATTCAGTAAAAACCCTGCTTTCTAAGCTTGACACATTCCCAGCACTCGGAAAATAAGCAGCAAAACTGATTGTCGCGAGATGGAAGCCAGTCGGGGATACAACCTGAGACTCTCTTTTAAAAAAAATCCTTGCTTTTCCCGAGTCCTGTTTCTGTCAACACTTAGGCACTTTCCAAACCTAGCTCCTTTTAGAACCCCGGAAGTTCTTCGCCCCATGTCTGGTCCCATTCAGTTCCTACTTTTTGCAGTGGAACAACCATAACAGCGAGTAGCGCTGGCGTTGGTGCCCAGTACCCAGCCAGAAGCCCATAATGCCCTGCTCTCAAGTATATCCAGTCACAAGGTGAAGTCTACCCCACCCCTTAGCAAGCTGCCGAGTGACGGAATCCAGAACCCGGCTCCTGCAGAGGTGGGGCCAGGTGAGATCTTCCGGTTTAGTGACGTCCAGATCTGGAGCTCTTGGGAACAACTCAAAGCCAGAACACCTTCACCCCCAGGCTAGATAGCTCAGGTGATCCTGCAAGAGCTGGATGAAGGCGGCCAAATCGGGCCACACCTTTCTCCTCCAGGATTTTCTCCATTCTGAATCACCACGAAACTTGAATTGTGTCCTCAGTTTCTTGGGCACAGACACAGGTCCTAGAGCAGGAGGTTATCTCACTACAGAACTCCTGAAACCCCAGCTCTGGGCACTGCTGGTTCATCCCAGAGGAAACTTCCTCTTCTACCCGGAGACCACACCCCCTGAGCCTCACCCTGCTGAACTGCCGTGAGGAGCGCCACCTTAGGGCCACACAACCCCATGCCTTCACTATGCTGATCCCTGGGTAGAGGGCAGGGGGAGAGCCGGGGCTACAAGGCAGCCGCAGAACACAAGGCCTGGGCGATGGGTCGTGTGCGTCTGCTGAGATGAACTGAAGGCAGGCGCAGGACCAGGAGCCGCACCAGGCTGTGGCCCAAGCAGCTCTACTGAAACCTGAAGACTGGCTTTACAGTCCGCTGAGCCCCCAAGCTTCTAGGAGTGCACAAGCAAGTTGGAAAGGAGTTCTTAGTACTCTGAGCTGTGCAGAGAGTCCCAGGAGGCCAGTGATAGTGGAGGCAGCAGACCCCAAGCAAAGTTGAAGCAGGAGCTGACCACTATGCTTGTTGATGAGAAACGGAGCAAGGGTCTAGATATACCTGCCAAGATTAACAGACTGCACCTATGGATAGTGTCTTTCTTCCTGCCCCTCCCCCTCCCTAACACCAAAGCCCTCTTTAAATAACAAGGCAGGAGACAGATCCAGGTATAACAGCAGGTTCTTTTTCCGGTTCCTCAAAGCGCCAAAAAAAAAAACCGCCACTGGGATGGGACCAAGACAGAAGAGAATGTAAACATTGGGTTCCACCCCCTGGACTCAAGGGAAGACCCTTACTCAGAGAGGGGCTTGATGGCTGGAAAGGAACAAAATGAAGACAGGCTTCCTGATGAGGCAGCAGAGGCCTGAGCATACAAAGCGAGTGGGTTAGGAGGGAGACCAGGACATAGGTGGGAAGGAAATGGAGGGCATTTCCTTGCATGTCCCCTTAAATAAACTGGAGTACAGGAGCACTGTGAAACACAAAACAGAGCACCCCACCCCAGGTCAACCTGACCTTCTGTACATAATTACAACACAAGGATATTCCGGAGAGAAAAAACAGCCTTGGCCCCCAAAAGACAGTGGGGTGACAGGCAGGGCCCCAAGACAGGAAAAGGAACCTAGCTCCACCATCTAAGGGAAGCCACTGGAGTGTAAGAATCTGCAACTGCTAACTGCCATTGCCAAGAGTCACCCTGTGACAAAAGGCAAATTAAGACAGCACCCCAGAAGGAATTCGTAGGAGTGACAGAGACCCAAGCTGGGCCTAACTGGACAAAAGAGTCTCCAGACTTGGTCACTGCTACCCTAGGAAACATAGCTGTCCCATGCACTGTGGCTGTCCTGGCCATGTAGGGATCAGCAGCTGGCAAGGCGTCAGGGGAATCAAGCCACTTCCTCAGAAAAAGGAAGAGCCTGCCAAGGGAGCTGGATGAGCACCCCTGCCAGGCCTGCTCCTGACCGAGGGAAAGGAAGAGGTCAGAAGAAAGCATCCTGCCGGGCTTCAGCTGCTGACCTGTCCCCACCGTCCTGGGGTGCTGGAGGCCCATCGGCCTTTCCCCGCAAGGAAAGCTTCCGGCCCTGGCCCTTTTTCTCCTGCTTCTGCCGCTCCTTCTCTCGCTCCTTTTCCCGTTTCTGCCGCTCCTTCTCCTGCTTCTGTCGCTCCTTCTCTCGCTCCTTCTCCTGTTTCTGCCGTTCCTTCTCCTGTCGCCGGGCCTCCTTGCTGGTGCCTAGTGGGGTGCTGTTGCCAGTAGGTGAAGGAAGGGATGGATGCAGTCCCTCAGCAGTGACGACGGCCCCAGGGACAACAGGGCCAGCACTAGCCCTGCGAACAGGGGGTGGTGGGGAAGGAGCGCCTCCAGCTGCCCGAGAGCCCCTGCTCTTAAGACTAGGGAGGCTGAGAAGGCTGGAGGACGGGCCCAGGGGTGGCTGCTGCCGCCTGCGCTCCTCATGGATGGCTCGGGAGCCATGCAGTCGCCGTGAGGGCCGATACTGCAGCTCTCCCCTAGTTTCTTGCCACTTCTTTAGCTGGGCTGCATTCTCCCTCTCAATCAATGCTTCTGTCACTGGGAGGCTGGTGACCTAGACAGAAGAAAGACGTGGGAACCAGAGTGTAGATGGGTTTGAGCAAGGTCTCAAGTGGATCAAGGTGTGCTGAGGCTCAAAGCCTACCTCGTGCACCAGGAAGTCCTCCTGCATACACTGTTGTGGCAGGTTTCGAAGCTGCTCCATGGTTTCATACATGCCTTGACAGGAGCGCAGCTTTTCCACAGAACCCAATGTGTGTCGCAGCAAGACCAGAGCCACTCGGAAGATGATCTTAACTCCTACAGGGTCAGAGGGGTGAAAAGAGAAATCAGGTCCAGGATCTCAACCTGTCTCATGTAGGAAAGACAGCCCCTGCTGCTGCTGACTGCCCACCTCACAGGTGAAGAAAGTTGCTGCAGGTTGCAGGTTTCTTAGAGGGCAAGCAGACTCTAGGTTGATGTCTTGAATCAAGGTGGGCCCTGTTTTTCCTGCCTGCACACAGCTTATTATGAAGCCTAGGCCCAACAATATTTTTGTCCCATGGGCTACCAGTAAAGTGACAAATCCTAGCCTCCCAGTCCAGGAGCCACTGAAATACCTTCACAGAAAAACATGTCCCAGACACGAAGCACTGAAGCCCAGGGGAGGGTGCGGGCAAAGATGCACATGAACCATTCCGTCATGTAGAGCACGGGGTCAATGCGCTGCCGCCGAAGGTGCCGATGTGCCAGAGGGGAAGCCCGGCGCAGGAGCGCAAAAAAGATTTCTCCATCCAACTGAATGGCCTCCTACAAGCGGTGGAAGAGCCATGAGAAATGGGTCTGGCTGGCTATGTTCCCCTCAGGGTACAATCAAACCTAAGAGGGCATCTTAACCTCAATGGCAGAGGGGCAGAAGAACAAGCGAAGCCAGGCAAGGGCCCATGGCAGCCTTGGGGAAAGTCACGGCCCCTGTGCACCCAGCGTCCAGACACTCACCAGCCCTGCACTGTAGTAACCTGGGAGGTACTTGTCGCAGATCTGAACCAGGCACCAAAAGGCTTGCTAAGGACAAGAACAAGGAGGCAGGGATGGAGCCTGAGAAGCAGGGAGTAGACAGCTCCCCATCACCACGGACCGTCTTCTCGCCCCCACCCCAACCAGGCCCACATTGCTGACCTCAGCAGGCATGTGCATGAGCAGCACTGCAGCCACTGGGGCCTGCGCCTGACAGTAGCCCTCGTCAGGCCTGTAGATGGTATAGGCCTTCAGGATTCGGTACAGGTCCTGTTGCCTAGGGAGTGCAGAGATGCAATCATCAAACCTGCCCCTAACCCTGCACCAGAACTCTCTCACAAGTTCCAAGCTAATCTCAAGCTTTACTACCACTCAGCATCTGCTTTCCCAGCCCTGCCCACCAGCAGTTCAAAGCATTCTGGGTCCTAGCCTTTCACCCTTGGCTGCATACTCCATAAACTTCCTACCCATTCCCTTCTTCATCTGCAACCACCCCCAAAGCAATCACGGTCATTTTCTCTAGGAACTTGTCAATAGCCACAGTATCAGCCCTTCTCTGGAATCAAGTGTTTTATACCCCAGGGCAGGCAGTCTTGTAGGGTTATCTGTTTCGCTGGATTTCATCAGACTTCCCAGCATGTCCAGTAGTCCAGGTTCCTGGTGAAGGCCAGGAAGTCAGCTGTGCCTCACATCTTTCTCTTCTCTTTGCATTAACCAGATCTGTGCCCTAGCCCTTCTCTTGTCTGATATTTCCACCTACTCCAAAGCAGCTTCCCAGAGGGGAGCCACCAAGTCTGAGCCACACAGTACCCTGAACTTCACTGACACCTGCTCTTTCCTCCCCCGCCACAGCTACTTCCTTCTCTGACCTCTATCTCTTGTCCCAAAATATCTATCAACCTCCCAGATCTCACTGCTTCCAGCCACACGGCTAATACTGATTATATTAGCAGCGTCCTAAATCCAGTCATTTATATGTGACCATTTATACCTTATCTGCAACCACATTGCTATTACTTAAAATTTTGAGGTGGGGTTTCCATGTAGCCCTTGCTGGGTTCTAACCCTCTGGACCCAAAATTGACCCTGAATTTCTGATCCGCCTGCCTCCATTTCTCCAGTACCAGGATTAAAGGTATGCACCATCTATCACACTTAGTTTTCTGTGGTGCTGAAAATCACTCAGAGCTTCAAGCATGCTAGACAAGCACTCCACTGAATGACCTACATTCCCATCCTTATTTACTTGTTTGCTATTTACTTTGAAAAAGTACTAATGAAATAACACGTTTGATGATGTTGATTATTTTCCCTAATACATAATAAAAGTAATCCATACTGAACTAACACTGACAAAATACTGAGGACTGGAGAGTTGGCTCAGTAGTTAAGATCTCTTTTTGCTCTTGCAGAGCACCCAAGTTCAGTTCCCAGTATCCACGTACATGGCGACTCACAACCATCTGTAACTCCAGTTCCAGATGACCCCACACCTCTTCTGACATCCTCTGGCACCAGACATATAAAAATGTAGCCTCTACCACAGCCACCCTTCTGCCTATCACCAGATCCCAACCTTCTTTTCTGCTTCATCAGTGTCTCTATTGAGACATTCCTATCAGCATACTAACAATTTGCTTTTTAAATTTTTATTTCTTCTGCAGTGCTAGGTTTGAACCCAGGGCCTTGTGCACGCTAAGCAAGCACTCTACCACTGAGCTACATGCCCAGGCCTGCTGTTTCTTTTTTTCTTACGGAGGTTGTCAGGCATGTAAATCAAGTGTCTTTATCCCTGAGCCACCTCACTGGCCCTTACTCTAGTTGTGTCCCTTAATCCTACCTCCCCTCCAAAGAACACACTTTCTTCCCTTACCTAGTCAGCCAAGTTGCTCTAGAAAATATACTTACTATATTCTATGTCCTTCCTCCTACAGTTTTAGCAGGCATCTGCCTATTGCTCCCCAAAAAATGCCTTTATCAAGTCATTAATAAGCCAGCTGTAGTGGCTCACACCTTTAACCCCAGGACTCGAAAGGCTGAGGTGGGAAGATTTCTGGAACTCTGAGGTCAGCTGAGCTATAAACACAAGACTGTCTCAAAAGTCACTAATGACTTAGTGTCACATCCAAGCTAATTCTCAGAGTTGATTTACTCGTCCCTCTTCACCATTTCCTGAAGCGGATCCTTGAGGCTCTTCTTCACGCTGCTTTCAGAAGTCAGACTCTCCTCCTGCCTCTCTACCTCTCCAGTTTCTGGTCCTATAGTGCTCGGTAAACTTTAATTCAATTGTCTCATTCCCCAAAACATTGGAATTTCAAGGCTTAAGCCTTGTGGCTTGCCTAGCCTCCCCCCCTCCCCTTTTTCTTTTCTTTTTTTTTTTTTTTTTTTTTTTTTTTTTTGGAGACAGGTATCATTGTGCACGCCTGGCTGACCTAAAACTCACTATGTTATAGACTGGATTGGCCAAAAACTCACAGGGATCCACCTTCCTCTGCCTACTCACTGCTGGGATTAAAAGGTGTGCACTCTTCCTTTTGAGTCTATACTTACTGCTTTGTGACCTCATCTCATCCCATGGGTGAATCTAATCCCTCCAAAATTTCAATTCCCAATTTACTGCCAATTTAAATTATTTTCCTGAAATTCAGACTTATACTATTGAGTACCCAACCTGCCTACATCCCCTGAATGTTCAATAAGCAACCCCATTCCTAGCTTGAGACAGAGTCTTACTCTAGCCAAACTGTCCTGGAACTCAAGATGTATCTTAGGCTGGCCTACAACTCCTGGCAATCCTCCTGCCTCAGCTTCCTAAGTGCTGATTTGATACCCAACTCCTGCCCCAACACGCAAAAGTACCTGAGACTACAGGCATGAGCTACCAAGTCTGATCCAAATTTCTGACATAACCCCAAACTTTCCTTTCCCCCCAAGTCTCTGATCTTCACTAGTAAGTAACAAGTGTCTCATACTTTCTGTCCCTGCAGCCCTGTCCCCACATGCTCTCCTTCTCCTTCAGTGCTTTAAACTCCTCTCTACTACTTCACATAGAGCATGCCTTCCTTCAGCTGGGACTGTCTATTCCCACATGCGGCAGTTTTGGGGTTTTGGTTCATTGTTGTCATCTGTGACTGGAATAGTGCCCGACAGAAGTAGGGACTCAATTACTATTTGTTAAAAGATGACCATTTATTCAAGGTAGGAATGGAAGTACCTATCTATAATCCTAGAACTTGGGAGGCTACAGCAGCAGAATACTGAGTTCCAGACCCAGAAAGTTCAAGGTCACTCTCCAAAAAATAAAAAAAATAACAACAAAAACACCCCACTGTCTATGGGCTATGGCAGTGGTGACATAACCTTTAATCCACACTTGGAAGGCAGAGACACATCTGATTTTGAAGACAGTATGGTCTACACAGTCAGACCCTGTCCCAAAGAAAAAAGCAAACAATATATGCAAATATATTCATTTTATAATACATAAAGAAAGAACAATTGTTCATTTAGGGCCGAGAACATAGCTCAGTGGTAAAATACTTGCCACCATGTGAAAGGCCCTAGGTATGAGCTCCAACACAACAGAAAGGCCATATTACTACCTCAGATCACCTTGTATACTAATAAGGAGTGGTACTTATATTTCATCCTGTGGAAACTTTACTTGCACAACAAAAATCTAAGTGCCTTTGGCTCTTAGTGATCTGGCCCAAACTTCCAGATTCAGCACTATAAAACCTCACTGCCCAGACACTGCTTATAGAACCTCCCATGAGGGGCTGAAGAGATGGCTTATTGGTTAAGAGCACTGGCTGCTCTTCCAGAGGACCTGGGTTCAATTCCTAAAAACCCACATGGCAGCTCACCGCTGTCTACAACTCCAGTTCTAGGGGATCTGACACTTTCACACAGACATGTAGGCAGGCAAAACACCAACACATAATAAAATTTAAAAAAAACCTCCCATGAAAGAAAACCCTGCCCTGCTGTAGCCCCAACTATCTTTTAAAACCCTGCATGATCCAACCTAGTTTCAATGTGCCTACACAAAAGACCAAATTGGAATCTCCCTCACCAGACACTTCTTTTAACACTACTTGACACTCAACCAATTAACAGTCACTCTTCTAAGAGCCCTAGAGGGTAAGAATTGCTTGGCTAAGCCTTGTATCTTCCCAGAACCTTCAACAGATTCTTGTTAACCCACATAGTAGAGCTCTTACCCATGTCCTCCTCGAGCAGCAAACATTTCATGGAAAGGGAACTGGCGATGCAGATCCTTCTCAATCACATCCAGCCACTTGGGGTCCCCAGGGGCCCGTTCCAGCTCCTACAGTGGGATATCAGGGATTAATTACCTCAGGGTCTGAGAGAACTGATCTCTCCTGCAGAGACAGTGCCATGTGTCCCCACACCGTGGAGTTCCACAAACCTCAAACTTGCCAGGGTTCTGCTCCAGGAGTTCCTTGCTATTAGACAGGTATTGCCAGGCCTTGGCTCTGAGAGAGGAGGGGATCCCTTTCCGGCAGCGCAGTTTTACCTAAGGCAGAGTAGCATTGAGGGTGACAGCTTCAGAGCAGGAACATTCTCCAAGCCTTCCCCACCAGCCATCAGGCTCCCACAGACATTCCTCCCACATGCCAGATGTGACAAAGCTGGACCTGGCCTGGCTACAATTTAAAGTTCCTCCTCCCAAGTCCTAAGCACCACTCATCTTCAATGCGTTAGAAGGGCAGATATTATTAGTTTCTAGGGCTTTCCATCAGCACTGCCCCTTCCCCACCCTTGCACATGGTCCAACCCACCACACAGCCCTCAAACCTTCTGGAAACGCCGTGACAGCCACTTATCCCAATTACTGAACATTTCCAGCCATTTGAGCTCCCGCTGCCGAGCCACATCCACAGGAATAGAGCTCTCTCTGTAGAATCAGGGTAAGTATGGAAGAGGTCAGTGTCAGTTCAGAGCCCAGGTTACTGGGGAAACTGAGTCAGCCAGTTCCCTCAGGCTCAACTGAGAAACTAGAAATTGTGTGAGATAAAAATGTCTGAATATTGGACTATCCACAGCCTTGTCTACCACACTTTAAAGGCTTCCTTCTCTACTGGATCTCTACACACAGAGTTCAAATCCCATTTTTAAAAATATTTATTTATTTATTATGTGTACAGTATTCTGCCTGCAGGTCAGATCTCACTATAGATGGTTGTGAGCCACTACGTGGTTGCTGGGAATTGAACTCAGGACCTCTGGAAGAGCAGCCAAAGCTCTTAACCACTGAGCCATCGAATTTAGTCCCAGCACTGCAAAAATAATACCTTTTGTATTAAATCTGTTTCTAAGTCCTAGTTTTACCATTTATTCATTGTGTGACCTTGAACGAGTCACTTAAGTTTTCTAAGCCTCAATTTCCTCATTTGTAAGGTAAAGAATGACAATATCTACCTGAAAGGACTTGTAAACTGCCTATAGCAGCAGGGGGCTACCTTAGATGTCTTGTTTTAGCCTATGAGACATGAGATTTCTCGGACCATCTGTGACTTCCTCTCCTCCTCTTTGCAACCTCCCCAGATTCCCAAACAAATGGATTCTCCTGCCCTGATACTGTTCTGTCAGCTCCATCTGCCTGGCAATGGTTGGTTATTTACAGGAACCAGTTCCAGGAGAACGAAATGGAAGAGCAAGCACGGGTTTTAGGAATTCTACAGACTAAGTCAAAACCCAGTTCTGCCCCTTAAAAGCTAGGAAGTCCTGACTTGTGAGTAACCTAGGTATCTTCCTTGGCTATAAATGGGGTGCCACTACCTACAGTTACAAAGGCAAGTAAGAAAAAAATGCATAACCTGGGTGGTGCTAGTGCACTTGGGATGCAGAGGCAGGTGTATCTTTGTGAGTTCGAGACCAGCCTAATCTATAAAGAGAGCTCCAGGGCAGCCAGAACTGTTACACAGAAAAACCATCTCAAAAAACAAAACAAGCATAAAAATTGTTAAATAGGAGCTCATCAGATATTAATTTATTTTGTGCTATGAGCTCCTTAAAGAGACATCTCTCACTTCTGTCATAAATGGGTTCCACATTCTCAGGGTTGGGAAGATTAAGGTGCCTTCCCTGCCCCTAGGAACATGATAGCTTACAGAGAGAAGGAAGATGCAGAGATGGCTCAGCTCTTCTTGTAGAGAACCAGCGTTCAGTTCCCAGCACCCACATGGCAGCCAACAAAGGTTTGGAAAAACTTCCAGCTCCAGAAGATTTGAGCTCTCTTTTGCCTCAGACATGAGTACAGGCAAAACACCCATGTTCATAAAAACCTTGACAAGCCAGGCGGTGGTGGTGCACACCTTTAGTCCCAGCACTCGGGAGGCAGAGGCAGGTGGATCTCTGTGAGTTCGAGACCAGCCTGGTCTACAAGAGCTAGTTCCAGGACAGCCTCCAAAGCCACAGAGAAACCCTGTCTCGAAAAATGGAAAAAAAAAAAACCTTGACGAATTTTAAAACAAAACCAGAAAGGGAAGGAATATCCACTATGACATGAGAAATGCAATGACAAAAACTCACACAGGAGCTATTATTACAAGGACAGTAGGTATCAGGGAAGTCTTCCTGGAGGAAAAGGACAGCAATACCAAAAGGAGTGAAGAGAAAGTAGGAGGCAGAGAAGGGGAAAAGGGCGCTCCTGCAGGTGGACAGGCCTGAATAATCCCCTACTAACTAAGTACAGAGCCGGGCAGACTGGTGCTGAGACCACAGCGGCTGGCCTGGCTGGGCAGTATGGAGCCAGTGTGAGGCCAAAGAGCTTGGACTTTACCCTGTAAGAGAAAAGAGTGTTCGTGCTAGTGTATCAGCCTTACCTCAGAGGTAATTCCTCTGGCATGGAAGATAGATTCCGAAGCGACAAAGTTACAAAAAGAGAAATAGCACCCAGCATAGTGCCTGACACAGGAGAGATATTCTAAAACTGAATCTGACCCAAGTTACTCTGACTAGTATTGAGGAATGTCCACTGGCCACACAGATCCACGCTATTTGAGGGAGACAACTCAAGTGTGGTAGTTTTGTTTCTTATAAACTGAAAAAAGTGCAGGAGAAAGGACCAGGGTCAAGCTTCAGTTAGAGTTCAGACTGTGAATGTTAGCTTACAAGCCTTTCCTGTATTGCTCCCACCCATCTTCCTGATTGACAGCCTCTTCGGCAGAATTCTCACATCCAGGTGCTCACAAAACCCTCTGATCTCTAGGCTAAACCCAACCAACTATATTGAAACCAAATGTCTAGGCATTCCCTCCAGATGAGAGTCTTGAAAGGACTGCTTCAGTCAGTGCTCAGGACAGGCCTGGCTGCAATGTCCTCAGGCAATGCTCTAGGCTGTAGATCTAACCAGGTTACTGCTGTGGAGAGCAGGTTAAGGGAGCACAGGAACAATGGTCAGGATCGAGAGAGGGGGAAGGAAGAAGTCAGAGCAATCACACCCCCACCTTAGGAGTGACTCAGGCCCCTCCCTGGAAGGAACTAGGAAAGCTCAACTAAGGCAGGGGAGATGAGGAAATGGGGAAGAGGCCACCCCCACCCCTTTCCTTCAGTGAAAATTCAAGCCTGCCCTCTCACAGAAGCCCTGCCTTCAGGGTCTCCCCTCCATCAACCAGACTTCCTCACCCTACCATTCTGCCCACTGCTACTCTGAAGGTGCCTGCATCCTTGCCACCCTCGGGACCCGGGACCCAAGGTCTCTATCAGAACCCTGATCCAACCAACCTTCCACATGTCTGGCTTTTGTTAAGTTTCCTACCAAGCAGCTGGTATCTTGGCTGCTTACCAGGTGTCATGCCATTCGACCCTTCAATTCACGGGGGAAACTGAGGCACAGGAACAGGGGCACCACTAGCTCAAGGACACGGGCCTAGGCAAGGTCTAGGCTTAAACCCGATGAAGTCACAGAAACACCAGGATGCTCTGGGCACTGCGGCTCCCGCTAATGACTCCCTGGATGAGGACTGGCCAGGTGCATCATCACCTCTCCCCCACCCCAGCTTCCACAGGCAGCCCCACGGGGTGCCCACTGTGTACTCACAGGCTGCCTGAGTACTGGCTGCCCCCAAGGAAACCATACTTGTCCGTCTTGCGCAGGGCCAGCCCATTTATCTCCGAGTCTGAACCCATGGAGCTCACATCATCAGCCAAGGACTCTAAGGTCCCGGACATGAGGCTCACGGAATCCAAGTAGCTCAGGGTGTCCGGGGCCTGCCCTCGAGGCCCAGAGATGCCAGGTCCTAGGCTGGACGTGGAGCCCAGGTCTTGAGAGTTTTCAACAGGCTCCGGAGCTGGGGTCACCGTCACCACAGCCACCGGAGCCTCACCCGTCCCGGGAGGGCCTGTGACAGGCCCCGAGGGGTCCTCAGGCGCCGGCCCTGCTGATGCTGAAGTAGCCGCTCCATGTCCACCTGTCACCTGTGCTGCTCCACCCCGTGCGGTCACTCCTGGAGCCACTGTGGTTCCCGGCTTGGGGGCAAGCGGGGGCTTGGCAGTCAGGACTCCAGGCGCCGTTCTGGACGGGGTCCGAGTGGGGGTCCCTGGTCCTGGAAGGGGCGAGGCTCGAGCCTCTTCCGTCTTCGGAGCGTCTGCTCCCGAAGCCGAGGCTACCGACCTCTCCGCTCCCGCCTCTGCCGCCGGTGCAGTGGACTCTTGCGTCGTCGCGGCTTCGGGTGAGGCCTCCAGGGTTAGCACCACCACCGTGCTGCCCGTGGCCGTCGTGGCCGTCGTGGCTGAGGTCTGTGCCGAACCTGGAACCCAGGCGGGCCGAGCCTCCCCGGGGACCACCAGCTCCACGGGGATAGAAGTGGCCGTAGTCACTGGCGGTCCTGGTGCCACCACTACTACCGGCCCGGCCCGGGAACCCCGGGGCGGGGGCGAAGGGGCAGCGGAGGCGCCGTGACGGCGCGGCGGGGCCACCAGGGGCGCCGGGCCCGTCTCCATAGCCGTGGGCCGCCCCTCACATCCCCCCCGCCGCGGAGGCCGCAGAAGGCGCCGCCCCTCAGGCCGCCCGGAGCAGCCCACTCGGGCTGCAGAGAGGGCGAAGGGCGCGGCTCGGCGCGCGCCGGGGGCGGGGCGGGACCGGGCGGCAGGCGGCGGGCGGCGCGCGCAGGCGGGGCAGGGGTCGGGGGCGCTCGCGCCGGGGTCTCCCGGCCTCTCACCCTGCTCGCGCGCTCGCGCCGCCCCCTCCCAGCGAGGGGCCGGCAGCCGACGTCGCGCCTGCGCAGACTCCCAGGAGCCGCCAGAGTCTCGGCGGACTACGCCTGCGCGAGGGGAGGACCTCTCGCGCCCCTTTTTTTTTTTTTCCCTCCCGCCCCCTTCAAAGGACCTGGACAGATAATAGGAGAGAGAAAGCTGGGTTCCTGCCAATCGATGGAAGGATGGGTGGTGTTGGGGGCGGGAAGAGGGCGGGTAGTCTAGGAAGAGGAAATGAAGAAGGCGGAGACAGGACGAAGAAAATAAGCAATCGAAAAGAGGGACCCTGAGCCCCCTGGCCAATAAACACAGCTGAAGCGTGAGCGATCGCGGAAGGGCGGGTAGTGAGGCTGGTGCTGGGAAGTAAGAGGCAGGGCCTAGGACCTCTTAGCCAATAGAAATGGAAAAAAGGCAACCAATGAAAAAGGGGCTGGACGGTCAGCTTGACTGGCGGTTATGTCTATTCATGGGATGACAGTATCAACAGTCAATAGAAAGAGCTGAAGAATTCTTACACTTCCTGAGATGGGCAGGAAGGAATGACAGCTAGAGAGAGGCGGGCTGAATTTGTCCTTAACTTATCAGCCAATGACTGTCTTTCTTCACTTTGCAAAAGGGTAAGGAGGTGGATAACACTCCCAGCAAATGGTTGCTTCGAGGGGCAGGGATGCTGCCAGCAGGCGGTGCCAGAGCAAGAATAGTCAGTGACAACCAGAGACAAGCGCGAGAGGAGGTGACAGCTGGGGACATCACTGAGAAGGGGCCTGGAGCATCGGTGCGGCTCCTAGCCAGTTCCGTGCTGGCCTTCTTGGGTTTCCAAAAGGGCCCCCATTCATTCAACTCCTGAGCTGCACCACAAACGCAGTGTCCCGTACAGTGCTCTCCACCTCGGCGCCTTTAATCAAACTACAGCAGAGTCTTTTAAAAGGTTCACCTATCTCAGGCAGGAATCTCATACCAAGTTTCTCTAAGTTCTCATGTGTAAATTGAGTTTCTTCCCCGAACGCTGCGATTTCTCTGAGTACTAGTTCATTCTCTGGGCAGAGGGGTTCCATCTCAGAACACAAACCTATGAATCCCCAGTACCACGAACACTCCATATCTGTATTCCTATTCTTCAGAGGATTCAAGAACCAAGCCCTATCGTTATCACATCTCTTTAGTGCTCATTGTAGACTCCAACTTCATAAGCCCTCCAGGCTGCCCTTAGACCAAGTCATAAAGACCAGACTTTAAGAGCACTAACCTCCCAGCTTCTAGACACCACTTGCTCTGTTCTCTGTTCTCTTGAGCCCCGGGATTAGTGGGCCTCAAAATTATACAGCATCTACCACCCTCAAATTCTAGTGAGACCTATTTCTCAACCTCCCAGTTCCCGAGTGGCTTTTGAGGCTCCCCAGTCTTGTTGGCTCACTCCCCACTCCCAACTCAAGCCCAGGCCCTGAAATGACCTGTCAGATCTGCTCGGCTTCCCCACTTTCCATCGGATTCAAGTTCACTGGGCATCCCCTCAATCCCATTCCCTTTTTGGAGTCTTTCTCACCTCCCAGGGCCCTCTAATGAGTGGGCTCCTCCATGACGTAGCCCCCTCATGGTACCCATATAAGGCAAAACAGCTGCCAACTAAAGCAGGGAGGGACTGTGCAGGAGGCCAAGGGCAGCTGCTAAGTTTAGGGTGGCTCCTTCCCTCTTCTTAGAGACAACAGGTGGCTGGGCCCCAGTGCCCAGAAAAGAAAATGTCTTAGTGGCATTGGCACGGACTGGAGGAGGGGAGGGGAGGAGACACATTCTTCAGGACATCAGGTCCTAAAGGGAACAGGAGGAGATGGGTGTCATTGCCAGCCTGGGGTTTCCTCTATTGCTATTTCCCTAGACTTCCACTGTATGGAGGAGAATGTGGACACTGAGGCCCAGAACATTATGAGTGGGAAACTCAAAGTCACAGAGTCAGGGAAGCCATTTCTTCCCCAGGAAGAAGACACTGACTCTGCTACCTAGGAGAAGGTGGCAGCTGACACTTTCCTCTTGGTGCCTTTGTCCCTTCTCTTCTGAGGTCCAGCCTCGAGTCACACTAGACCTCTCTCGCTTCAACCCTTCCCAAGTTCACCAGCATCTCTGCTTGTCATTGACACCCCCCTGTATCTGGTTATCAACCCTTGACATCTAGTCCCATCGCAATTCTGGCGAACCTAACCCTGGCCTTTCGCTGTCCTGCCTTTGCCCATGTGCTGTGTCTTCCGTCATGTATGTCTGCTCATCAGCCTCCCCCAACCTGGATCACTTCCTCATCCCTCTGTTCAGTTTTGTTGTTATTGTCATCATTTGCTTACTTGCTAAAGCAAACCCTCAAAACCAAGCACATTGTAGGTCTGCAATAAGTGCTTGGTTTATATCTGAGCCACCCTACTTAGAGGTTCAAAGGTCTGGTTCATCTCACCCAGAACTATGGGTTGGCTGGGGCCCCTCTGATTTCTGGCACAATCCAGTCCTCTTTTGGGAGAAAGAACACACCTTGTTGCCTATCCTAATAAAAATTGCATCCCAAGACTTACTCCCTCCTCCCTTTCTGGGCTCCAGCAGCTGCAAGCCTCCAAGAAAGGAGAGGCCCCTGAGCTGGGCTATTTTAGTATCTGGGGTGGGTATCTGCAGGGCTAAGGTTACCATGGTATGCTAAGGACTGTAGGGACAGGACTATATAACCCCAGAAGAGCTGCTCCAAGCAGATTCCCTGCCTTTTCCAGCTGGAGCTGCCTTGCCCCCGGGAGATCTAAGACATGGTAAGTGAGATCCCCAGCTGCAGCCCAAACCCGTTAGGTCAAGGTAGCCTCACCCTTCAAAAAAAAGAGGTTGGTGCTTCTCAGTCCAACTACAGGTAAGATGTGAATCCTCTCTCAACACCAGGATGGGGCCAGAGGATAGAGTGTTGGGCTGAAGGACTCAGTCAAGGATAGGATGCTTGGATGGTCATCCATGGGGAGGGGAGACTAGACCTGCTCAAAGTCTGTTCATCCCTTTCTGTACTCCATCTCTCTAAAGACCCCCGACCAGTGAGATGACTGCACTCTCATTCTCTAAGTGAGAATTCGAGGTTCAGACAGAGTCCAGGAGTGGATTAAGCTAGCAGATATGAGTGCCAAATTTGCAGGCCAAGTGTCCTGAGAAGGGCACTTGTTAGACAGGATGAGGAGACCCGGATGCTATAGCTGGGACATAAGAGATGTAGCCACAATAAGCCCCCTTAGCCAAGATGTGCCAAAAAAAAAAAAAAGTTACTTTAGACAAAGGGACGCAAAAGACTCTGAATCTGACTAGGCATGGTGGGATATGCCCATAATTTCAACTGCTTTCAAGACTGAGGGGGTAGGATCACTGGAGCCCAGGAGTTCAAGACCAGCCTGAGCAACATAAGTGAGACCCAGTCTCAAAAGGAAAAAGAAAAAAAAAAAAAAAAGGGAGGAGGAGCAGCTGGGTGTGGTCTTTAATCCCAGCACTCAGAAGGGGTAATTAGGTACCTCTCCCTGAGTTCAAGGAAAGTCAAGGTCTATAGAATGAATTCCAGGGCTAATTAGTGAGACCATGTCTATTTATTTTTTTTCTTGTGGTTTTTTGAGACAGGTTTTCTCAGTGTAACAGTTCTGGCTGTTCTGGAACTCACTTTATAGACCAGGCTGGCCTCAAACTCACTTCAACCTGCCTGCCTCTGCCTTCCAAGTGCTGGGATTAGCCCACACCTGGCTGTGAGACCATGTCTTTTTGTTTGTTTGTTTTGTTTTTTGATTTTTGTTTTTCAAGACAGGGTTTCACTATGGGTTTGGAGGCTGTCCTGGAACTAGACCAGGCTGGTCTCAACCTCACAGAGATCCACATGCCTCTGCCTTCCGAGTGCTGGGACTAAAGAGACCATGTCTTAATAGAAAAGAGACAGAGAGAGAGAGAGAGACAGAGACAGACAGAGAGAGACAGAGAGAGAGAGACAGACAGACAGACAGACAGACAGAGAGAAACAGAGACAGACAGAGAGACAGACAGAGAGGGAGAGAGAGATAGAGAGAGAGAGACAGAGACAGAGAGGGAGAGAGAGACAGACAGACAGACAGAGAGAGACAGAGAGAAACAGAGACAGACAGAGAGGGAGAGTGGGATGTAAGTCAGTGGACTGGTAGAGACAGACAGACAGACAGACAGACAGAGAGGGAGAGTGGGATGTAAGTCAGTGGACTGGTAGAGACAGACAGACAGACAGACAGACAGACAGACAGAGGGAGAGTGGGGATGTAAGTCAGTGGACTGGTAGTGCTTGCCTAGCATGCACAAGCAACCAGAGAAAACGAGGTGTGCCAGTGTAAGCCTGGAGGTAGAGATGGGGCAAGAGATCAGAAGATCAAGGTCACCCTCAGCTGAGTAGCAAGTCTGGGGCTCTATGAGACCCTGTCTTCAACGACAACAATCCGCTTTACTCCCCGGAGGAGGGAGGCACAGGAACTGCCTGTGCATGCTCCTTCCCAACCTTTACCCTCACAGGCACCCAAGAAGGCCAAGAGAAGGGCAGCAGCAGAAGGCAGCTCCAATGTCTTCTCCATGTTTGACCAGACTCAGATCCAGGAGTTCAAGGAGGTGAGTGTGAGGAAAGCCCCCCTCCCCCGAAAGTGCACCTGTTGAGGGGAGGAGGAGGGTTTAGAATTCCTCCCCGCCTCGTGAAGGGTGGAGGGGTCAGCTGGAAAGAACGAGAATCTGATCTGCCTGGGGAAGTAAGGCTGAAGCTGTGGGCCCATTCCTGGCTTCATCTGTCCCCACCCTTCCCCCACAGGCTTTCACTGTCATTGACCAGAACCGGGATGGCATTATTGACAAGGAGGATCTCCGGGACACCTTTGCAGCCATGGGTGAGCCCCATACTCCCATCCATAAACAGTGAGAGCTGTGAAAGCTGGGGGAGCCAGCGGCTTCGGGCTTCAATCTGCCCACATGAAAAGTGAATGAGTTGGTATATGTTCATGGGAAACACAGCTCTGGTCCCCAGCACCCAAACCCCTGCTGCTCACCCTGTTCAGGCCGTCTCAATGTGAAGAACGAGGAACTCGATGCCATGATGAAGGAAGCCAGTGGGCCCATCAACTTCACCGTGTTCCTGACCATGTTTGGGGAAAAGCTTAAGGGTGAGTGAAAGGTTCTCTGCCCAAGGCCCTCGCTGCTTCTTCCCAGCCCTTCAGGGGCGTGCTGGACTTATGTGTCCTCTGACCCTTCAGGTGCAGACCCTGAGGACGTGATCACTGGAGCCTTCAAGGTCCTGGACCCAGAGGGGAAGGGCACCATCAAGAAGCAGTTGTGAGTGTCCCCTCCTTAAGCTCTCGTGTAAGGGTTCGAGGTTGGCAGAATGAGTGAGCAATAAGGACTGAGTGACAGGGTTACATTTTCACAGCAAGTAGGGGGAGAAACTTGAGACAGGAGGCCACAGCATTTGGGAGATGAGCCAGACTGAAAGGAGCCACCCTGGGTTTCAGGGAAGAATGGGGGGTTGGTGGCAGCGGGAATGAAATGAGAGAGGACAGGACTCATGAACCCAATCTCACATCCCCAAATGTCACCTTCTCAGCCTGGAGGAGTTGCTTACCACACAGTGTGACAGATTTTCCCAGGAGGAGGTGAGTTGGGGAGGGTCTGGGAAGGGAAAGGACTCGGGCAGTGGGAGTCCGAGGACCGATCCTAGACATACTCCTTTACCTTCCCACAGATCAAGAACATGTGGGCAGCCTTCCCTCCAGATGTGGGCGGCAACGTAGACTACAAGAACATCTGCTATGTCATCACACACGGTGACGCTAAGGACCAGGAATAGGGGACCCAAGATCTCAGAAGACCTAGATAGGCATCTAGCCTCCCCAACTCTCACCCGACCACCCGACCCCCAATAAAACTCAACTGGTCTTTGTTTCTTATTGGTGGCAACTTCAGTATGTTTATGCGCGAACTCAGGCGGGAGGCTGAAGCACCGCCCAGCAAGACAGGAATCGCTAACAATGGAATGACTAGTGGCCAGGAGACCGGTAGCTGGCAGCTCCAATTCCTGCTGGGAAGAAGACTCGGGAGGCTCGGGGTGGTGTTGGGGAAGCAGTTTTTATTAGATGGAGAACTTAGAGGAATAGGGTATTCTAAGGGGAACCCGTCATCAGGAGTTGGAGGGTGGCCCTTCAGAACAGCTAGAAAGGTGGAGTGGAGGGAGGCAACGAACTTCCGGATTGGAGCAACTTGTTTCAAGTGCAAGGGCAGGCCTACCCTCTGGGTCTCAGGATTTGGCGCTGGGCAGTCTAAAGGCGGGATGGGACTGGAGATTGGCGGAGAGCGCCTAACCCAGGTTAGGTGGCGCTGAGGATCTCACAGAGAATCTGACTGCTCGCCCTGAGCCTGGCTCTGCTGCATCTGAGCTTGCATCTTCTCCAGCATTTCTTGCATGCGGCGCAGCTGTGCGGAGCAAGATTGCAAGCAGTGGGACCGGGAAAGGCCCGAATGGGATCTAGGGAGCGGCTTAGAGGGAAAGAGATGTGCTTGCTCACCTCTTCGTCTTTCTCGCGAATCAACTTCTCAGTGTCAGCCAGAGGCAGCATGGGCAGCGGGATCTCTGTGGCACTCTGCCGGGAAAGCTTGCTAGAAACGGGGCGGGAAGGGGGGGAGAACAGGAACGGGGTCTGAAGTTATGGGTCTAGCCATGGGGCAAATCCTGGGTGTAGGAGGTGGGGCCTGAAGTTACTGACGGAGTGGGAGAGGCTTAGTGGGATTAAGCCTGGTAGCAGGACCAATCAGGAAGGCTTGCCCAAAGGGTGACGCCATGGAAGCGCTAAAGTAGCCCTGCTCTCACCTGCGGCTGGCTCGATCCCGGGCCCCAGGTCGAGCCAGACTCTGTAGGCAGCGAGCCCGATAGCCCTCGTAGAGCAGATCGTGGGTCACCTCTTTCAAGTCCTGAAGGTGGGTCTGTACCAGCATCCGCCTCAGGTTCAGGAAATCGCAGTGATGTGGGTTCTCCACTAGAGGGCGAACCAGGTAGCTTTCCACCAAACTCCACCCTTAGGATCTGCCCTCTGGGAGTACCTCGCGGTTGCAGCCCGAGGGACCGCCCCCACCACCACCCCCACCTCCCGGACTTCTAGGAACTCCCGGACTAGACCCCACCTCCGGTTTCACCTACGGACACAGACTGAGCTCCTTGCAGCTCTCAACGCAGGCCTGGCCTTACCCTCCACGGTACCCCAGGAGTAGCGGCGTCCCCTCACTGGTCGGGTTCCGCCGTCCCTCACCACTTCACAAGAACCAACGACAGCGAAAGGAATGCTTCCCTACCGGGCAAGAGTCGCGAGTCACGTTGGCCCTCCTGGGCATAAACCTCTTTCTCAAAGCTTTCACTTTCTGCCTCCCTGCCCTTTCCACTTCCACTGGCCACACCTTCATCTCTTCATTCTGCCTCTTGAATTCTTCATCCTCGTCAGAGTCACATTCTGGGAACTGGTAGATGTTGATCTCCTCCTCCTTCAACTGGTCCCGGATCTCAGAGCGGAGAGAGGGAGAAACTGAGGTGTGACCAGCCGACATTGCATGGCCAGAGACGGTGAGGGACAGAGATACTGGGTAGTCAAAGAGGAAGGAAGATGGTGAGAGGCGGCCACACAAGTGACCAAAGCCAAATCCTCTGAGACACGGTGGGGAGAAATTCACAAGTCAGGACAGACGTAAAACTACCCTGAAGTGGAACAAGAGAAAGCTCTCTAAAGACAGCGGGCAGGGAGTTAACTATCACAGTACCAAAAAGATTCCAGGAGTTGAGATGGCCACCCCCCTTTCCTCAGACTGTCCCTAGCCAAGCCTCTAGTTCCAGGGCTGTATTCTGTTCAGAGCTGTTAGGGACATGGCTACTTGTGACGGGTTCATACACCCCTAAACTCCCCTTCCCTAGTTTAGCCTAATAGCTCCTGCTCTAAAAAGGCCACCCCAAGATCAGAAAATCACAGCTTTCGTTTCCACTTAGTGCTAAAGGTCAGGTCTCACCCTACCTTCTGCTTGAGGACCTGAGTTTCCCTAGGCATCAGGGCGTCTGCTTTGCCAATGACTGGGATAACATTGACCTTTTCGTGCACTGCCCGGAGGAAAGCCACGTCCAGGGGCCGAAGCCTGCAGCAGGGTTGATGAGACTCAGCTCCAGAGCGCAGAGGGTTACCCAGCCTCCCCAGTCACTGGACCCCCAGGTGCCCTCCAGACCCTCTGCCAAAAGGTGAGATGAAGTAGAGGCAGCAGTGGACTCTGGAGTCCTGGATGTTCTTCCTGTTGAGGCCGCTCTCATCCCTGAGGTATTGCTCAAATTGCTCCTCAATGAATCGGACCACAGGGAGCCAGCTGGCGTGTGGAGAGAAGATGCAGAGTCAAAGATCACAGGGCAGGGAACAGAATAAAGCTAGCCAGGCCTTTGGGGTGGAAAGTAATTTCTTTACTTCCAACCAAAGTCATCAGGGGCAACTGGCAAGGGCTTGGATTAGACTTCCAGAGTGAAGTGGTTCCACACCTATAACCCCAGCACTCAGGAAGCTGAGGCAGGAGGACTGCCACATTTGGGGCCAGCATGACCTACATAATGAGTTCCAGGCCAGCCTAGGCTAATGTGACACCATCCCCAAAAAGCTGGGGGGAGGGGACCACTGAACCAGTCATGGCGTATGTCCTTAACCCTGGAAGGAGGACTTCGAGTCTGAGGTCAGTCTGGGCTACATAGTGAATTTGAGGCCCCTGAGCTACAGAAAGAACCCTTTTCTCAAAAGAAAAAAACACTGGACCCTTTGGGCCAGATTGTGTGCAGAAACAGGTGCCTCCTTTTAGGTCATGGAGCCATGACAAACTAGTCCACAGCTGACCCCAGGTCTTCCATAGTGGAAGAGAAGCTTAGCTCTTATCTGTCTCCCACCTCACCAGTCTGAGCAGTCCACGGAGTCCCCAAAGCCAGGTGTGTCCACTAAGGTCAGCTTCACCTTGATCCCTCCTTCCTCGATCTCCACACCCCGGCGCTCAATGGTCAGAGTTTGTGTGGTGCGAGCTGTGGATACAGAGAAGCCGGCTGTGAAGGGCTCTGAAGGGGCTCAGTTCCCAGCGCGGCAGCTGCATCCCTCCCGCCCCCCCCCCCCCGCGGGCCCCTGCATCCCCAATGAGTATTTCACGGGAGGAAATAGTCTCAGAGAAAACTAGTGACCATCCAAGTCCCCAGACAGAAAGAAAAAGCGCGATGATACAGGAAGAGAGAAGACCAGACCAGCGGTGGGAGTGGGGAGCCTGCAGGGGTGGAGGTGTGGGCAGATCTTACCACTGGCATCTGGCACCTGCCGATCTTCGTAGAGGTTGGTGAGGAACAAGCTGTTGATGAGGGTGGATTTCCCGAGGCCTGACTCCCCTGTGAACGGGACAGACCTACTAGTCAGATGGGAAGGCGGCCAGGATCCCCGGAGTACATCCCTATCCCCTACCCGTCTCTTTCCAAAACCCACGGACCTGCCACCATGAGTGTGAAGTCAAATCCCTTCTTGACAGACTTGCGGTGCAGCTGGTTGGGGAGGGCAGCGAAACCCACATATTCTTTGTCCTGTGGGTACAAAAGAAGATAGTAAGAGGCTCCTGAACATAGCAAGGAGTGCCCAGGTACCACCTAAGCCCCAAAGCTAGGAACGTCAGCCTACTCTGGGTTGATTTTGTTTTGGGGACCCTCAAGGGAGAGGACTGGGCCCCAGTTGCCTAGATTCCTGGGCCCAAGAACTCACCATGGCTGTGCTGGTCGTCGCTGCACCTGGTGTTGCTCCCCACTTCCTCTGGTGGGGCAGGAAGTTGAATGCATCAGACAAGACTGGGGGTGGGGTGGGGATGGGGGGGCAGTGCAGGAAGCTGAACTGCTCAGAGACGTGAGAAACCCATGCTACATTCTCTTTCTTTTAATTCAAAGATTTTCTTTTTAATTATTTGGGGAGCAGGGATATGTGCATGTGAGTGGAGGCCAGAGTCACCGGCCTGGACCTGGAGTCACAGCTGCTTGTGAACTACCTGACATAGATAAAGACCGTGCATTCAGGTCCCCTGTCAGAGCAGTGCATGCTCTCAATGGGTGGGCCACCTCTACAGCCCTAATGCATCTTTTTCCTTATCTCTATATGTATGCATATACATAGAAATAGAGATAGATATAGATACGTGTGTGTGAACACACACACACACACACACCTTCAGCCCTTTCATTTTCCACATGTCTTTATGCCAGGCCTCACTTCAATGTGGCCCCATCATCATGGTGAGAGATGAGGTATAAACAGAACAAAGGGAAGCAAGATGTTCTCCTCAGCAGATCTGGTAAGGGATTAGCAAGATGATCTGGAAAAAACAAAAAAGTTCCCAGGGTACTTCTGAACAACCAAATAGAAGGGGCCAACAGATTCCCAGCTCGGCACTAGACTCCTCTTGATGGCTGTTAGTGCTGGATTGAACTCAAGCCTCCGGTGCTGCCAAGCCCGATTCCCACTACAGTCCCAGCTCCCTGGATTTGGGATATTTTGAGACAGAGTCTTGCCATCTATCCAGGCTGGCTTTGAGTTTTCCCGGTTACTACCTTGACATCCTAAGTGTCAGGATACAGGCCTGTTCCACTGGGCTTCTGCACCTCAATTGCAGTTATTCCGTTTTATTTTTGAGATGGGGTCTCATGTAGACCAGGCTAGCCTCAAACTCACTTTGTATTCTAGGACAACCTTCAGCTATTGATCCACCTTGCCTCTGGCTGTCTAATGCTGGGGAATACAGGTGCGTACCACCACACCTGGCATCTGGTAACAACCATCAGAAAGACTTTCAAAATGCAGGCCCAGGAACTGCTGGCACTGACCCTTCAAGAGTTCCCCAGTGGCCGGGCGTTGGTGGTGCACGCCTTTAATCTCAGCACTCGGGAGGCAGAGGCAGGCAAATCTCTGTGAGTTCGAGACCAGGCTGGACTACCAAGCGAGTTCCAGGACAGCCTCCAAAGCCACAGAGAAACCCTGTCTCGAAAAACCAAAAAAAAAAAAAAAAAAAAAAAAAAAAAAAGAGTTCCCCAGTGGCATCAGAATGCAGTCTGCACTCTGGCCTGGGGCAAAGTTTGTCCCCTTTGCCTGATCACCTGCCTCTCTTCTTCAAGCATCTGTAATTATCTTGGGAAATTGGGTTCTCATTCCTTTTAAAAATATTTTCTTTAAATACATTTTTTTTTTGGTTTTACGAGACAGGGTTTCTCTGTATTGTTTTGGAGGCTGTCGGTCCAGCCTGGCCTGGAACTCACAGAGATCCACCTGCCTCTGCCTCCCGAGTGCTGGGATTAAAGGCGTGTGCCACCACCGCCCGGCATCTAAATACATTTTTATTAAAATATATTTTTATTTAATTTTTTTCCACGACAGGGCTTCTCAGTGTAGCCCTGGCTGTCCTAGAACTCGCTCTTATTCAAGCCACCACGCCAGGCAAACACCCTACGAACCCTAACATTTTCTTTTTCTTCACCATGTGAACAGTTCTTCAATGAAATCTTCCCCAGTTGTTTCTATTTTAAACTTCCTAGCGCCTTTCCCATCCTCCACCCCCACCCCCAGTGCCCTGTCTGTATCTGATGCCTTGGCTGAACTTCAGGAAAAGAACTATCTTCCTAATTTCTGCATTCTACATGCTTCATAACACTTGATTTGTTAGGTGCATGTGCACACAAGAAAAGAATAAATGGGGCTCAGGGCTGCTCTCCAGGGGCCGGGTTCAACTCCAACATCTACATGGCAGCTCATAACTGTCTAATAACTCCTGTTCGAGGGGATCCTACACCCTCACACAGACATACATGCAAGCAAAAACACCAGTGCATGTAAAATAAAAATAAAGTTAAGGCCGGGCGTTGGTGGCGCACGCCTGTAATCCCAGCACTCGGGAGGCAGAGGCAGATGGATCTCTGTGAGTTCGAGACCAGCCTGGACTACCAAGCGAGTTCCAGGACAGCCTCCAAAGCCACAGAGAAACCCTGTCTCGAAAAACCAAAACCAAACAAACAAACAAAAAAGAATATTTTGTTTGTGGCTGGGCGTTGATGGCGCACGCCTGTAATCCCAGCACTCGTTAGGCAGAGGCAGGTGGATCTCTGTGAGTTTGAGACCAAGCTAGGTCTACCGAGCGAGTTCCAGGACAGCCTCCAAAACAATACAGAGAAACCCTGTCTCCAAAAACCAAAAAAAAGAAAGAAAAAAAGAATATTTGTGTGGTGTGTGTGTGTGTATACTACATGTATATGGGTGCACCTGGAGGCCAGAAGGCATCCTATCCCTTGGAGCTGTAGTGACAGACAGTTATGAGGTGTCCCTTGAGCCCATAAAAATAATTAAACCATAGAAAAAAAATCTTGGCACAGTGCACACTTTTAATCCTAACACTCAGTAGGGAAAGGGGTGCTTGCTGCACACCACTGGCGACACGAGTTCAACTCCTGCGACCCACAAAAATTCGGATGGAGAGAGCCAACTCCATGGGGTTGTCCTTTGATCTCCAGCATGCCTTGGCACGACCTCTCTATCTCATCACACTCACACACACACACACACACACCAGTAAAGTAACAAAAATAAAACTCTTGATATTCAACTCACCCCAGTCAGAATGGCTATCATCCAGAAAACATGACAACAAATTCTGGGGAAAATGTGGGAAAAGGAGGGCCTTATCCATTCTTGTGAAGAGTGTGAACTGTTACTAATACTATGGAAATCAATGGAGATGTTTATCTAAACTAAAAATAGGGCCTGGAGACTTGGTCCCGTGGTTAAGAGCATTTGCTGCTCTAACAGAGGACCCGGGTTCAATTCCCAGCACCCCTGGTGACTCACAACCATTACCAATGTGATTATAGGGAATTCAGACTTCTAAGTACCAGGTATACCACAGGGGAAATACTCACATAAATAAAAACAATAAAGTTTTTGAAAGTAGCAGGGTGCAGTAACCCACGCCTTTACGAGTACCATTAGGGAGGCAGAGGCAGGTAGGTCTTTGTGGATTGTAGATTAGCCTGGTTTACATACCGAGCTTCAGGCCAGGCAGGATTACATACACTCTATGCCTTACAACAACCTTGTCTCCAAAGCAAATCCAAAACAAAGAAAATTCTAGACCTACCATATGAGCCAGCTGTACCATTCTGGCTGCACACTCAGAAGATGTAATCTAGCCACAGGGACACTTGCTCATCCCATGAATATCTTTTCACAACAGTCAGGAAATGAAATCACACAGTGAGTGGACGGTGAAGTGTGGTGCTTAGACACAGTGGGGTTTCATTCCGCTCTAAAGAAAATGTAATTATGAAGACGTCAGGAAAGTGGAATGGAACTGGAAAACATTTCGTTAGACGAGGCAGGCCAGGCTTAGAAAGACAAACACCCTGTGCTCTCTCATATGCAGATCTTAGCTTCTAATTGTTAAATGTGTATGTTTGGATGAATGAATATGTGGGTAAAGGCCAGCAGGGTAGGAAGGGGTCCATGAGATGGGGGAAGAGGCTTTAAGAGAGGAGCCAGGGTCTGGAGAGGTGGTGTACGTCTTTAATCCCAGCACTCAGGACGAGACTGACCTGGTCTACAGAGCAAGTTCTAGGACACCTAGGGCTACACAGAGAAACCCTGTCTCAACAAACAAAAACATCATTAGGAAACCTGTCATTTCATATGCTAATTAAAATTTGTATATGAATTAGAAACTTTTAGTCTTTTTTTTTTTTTTTTTTTTTTTGGTTTTTCGAGACAGGATTTCTCTGTGGCTTTGGAGGCTGTCCTGGAACTAACTCTTGTAGATCAGGCTGGCCTCGAACTCACAGAGATCCGCCTGCCTCTGCCTCCCAAGTGCTGGGAAACTTTTAGTCTTACATCTCTGCATTAATATAGCATCAGTTTAATACATATTCTTCTAGATTTTCTTCTTTGCCTATACACAGGTATTTATGTGTATTTTTAAGTTTTGGTTTTTGTTGTTGTTTTTTTCTTGTTTGTCTTTGTTGTTTTGTTTTGTTTTGTTTTTCCGAGATAGGGTTTCTCTGTGTAGTTTTGGAGCCTATTCTGGCACTCAATCTGTAGACCAAACTGGCCTCGAACTCACAGAGATCCACCTGCCTCTGCCTCCCAAGTGCTGGGATTAAAGGCATGCGCCACCAATGCCCGGCTTTTATTTATTTATTTATTTATTTATTTATTTATTTATTTATTTGGTTGGCTGTTTTGTTTTTTGAGACAGGGTCCTATCATATATCCCTGGCTGGCCTGGAGCTTGCCCTGTATACATCAGGCTGATCTCGAACTCAGAGCTCTCCCTCCTGCTGTGTCTTAAAGGTGAGGCCTGCCAGGACTATCTTATTTCTTTTAACATTTTTATTTATTGTGGGGGTGTGTGTATGTCATACTGAAAGTATGGAGGTCAAGAGGCAACGTGCCACAATCAGCTCTCTGCTGCCACCCTGTGAGAGTCCCAGGGATCAAATTCAGGTTGTCAGATTTGGTGGCAAGTACCTTTACCCTCCGACTCATCTTGCTGCCCCCAGAGATGCTTTTTAAGGTGAAGTTTTCTTTATTGCTGAAGGGCCCAGGCCCTCACCCAGTCCCCTGCTTTAGCAGCCATGACAGGCTGCAGAAAAGACCCAGCCAAACAAAGGATGTGCTGAGCCCCCCCACCCCTCCTCCTTGCCCAAATTACTGGGAATTAACTGCCAGATGTCCTCCATGTGGTAAGGAACCAATCAGAAGTTAGCTGGCAGGCTTTGGATGTACTTTACTGATAATAGTGGAATGCAGTAGGTAGCAATGGCCCTCGGATGGCCTCCAGGCATAGCAACCTTTCTGCAGCTGCAGCTGACCAATCAACTCAGGACAGGTTCCCCCATGCCAGAGTTGCACCAATCCCTGAGACTGTTACTATGCAACTAGCAGACCCCTAGATACCCCCTTGCTTTACCTCCAATATATGCCCTACCCCACTGCTGCTTGGGGTGCCTCCTACTCTATGTCGGATGACATAGAATCAACTTTTTTTTTTTTTTTTGGTTTTTACGAGACAGGGTTTCTCTGTATTTTTTCAGAGGCTATCGGTCCAGCCCGGCCTCGAACTCACAGAGATCCGCCTGCCTCTGCCTCCCGAGTGCTGGGATTAAAGGCGTGCGCCACCACCGCCTGGCTAGAATCAACTTTTAATACTAATTTTTCATATTATTTTGCTGGCTTCAACATCAAGTACTAATGTTATGATTTGTGGACTTTGATTCCAGAGTTAAGTATTTTCATCCCAATGTAAAGGAAATTATAATCAGCCCACACATCTAGACTGGTAGCATATCCATTAGTTTCCTTCAATACTAACATATATAGCTTCACAGTAGCATGTATTAAGTGTTCAGCAGTATCAACTGCCAAACCAGTGTCAGTGGATAGTACAGTCAGTCTTAAAGAGGCAGCATCCCACTAAAAGAAAGTTGCACCAATTTTGCTCAGTTTTAGCCAAGTGAACCCACAGTCAATTATAAATGGAACTACTTTAAGCTGATAGAAGAAAAATGACAAAGCCTAATATCAAGTTAGTGTTTGAAGTTATTTCAACTTGGAAAGTTTAAATGTTGAAACTAGGTTATCAAGATACAGGTTAAAATTTTAGGTAAAAAAATGGTCAAATAACTAAAACATCAAAGTATACACTGATAATATCATGTATCCATCCATTGAACAGTATTGTAATGATCAGATATTTTAGTCACATAGTTCAAGTCAAGTTTACAAATCATCAGACAATCAGTTCGGTTAATTCAGCAACTCTTACCCTGGTGACCTCTTACATGTGCACGTGTTTGCGTGCTTGTGGTGCACTGGCCTGTGGAAGCCAGCGATAACGATGGACGGTCTTCTTCAGGGACTCTGTTTTATTTTATGTGCATTGCTGTTCTGCCTTCGTGTATGTCCGTGTGAGGGCATTGGATCCTCTGGAACTAGAGTTACAGACAGTTGTGACCTGCTGTGGTGAGTGGTGGGTATTGAACCTGGATCCTTTGGAAGAATGCTGAGCCACCTTTCCAGTCCCTTCCTTGATCTTTCTTACCTTAGTCTTTGAGACATTGTTTCTCACTGCAGCTGGAGATTACTGTTTTGATTAGGCTGGCTGGTCAGTAAGCCCCCAACATCCAACAGTTGCCTGACTTTCCTACCAGCACTTAGGTTACAGATCTGCCACCACTCCTGGCTTTTATGTGGTTGTGGGGATCTTAACTCCGGTCTTAATGTTTGAGCAGCAGGCACTTTACCCACAAAACCATCTCCACAGTCCTAGGATAACATTTTGAAATTTATTTTTCAAAGCTTTGACCACAACCAATTTCAAATCTGTCTTTATAGTTTGGGGATTCAACCAAATTGGCTCAGGTTTTGTGATGGTGCACACCTTTAATTCCAGCACTCAGGAGTCAGAGGCAGACAGGTCTCTATGAGCTCAAGGCCAGCCTGGTCTACAGAGAGTGCCAGAACAACCAGAACTGTTACACAGAGAAACCCTGTCTCAAACAACTAAACAAACAAAAAGTCCTAATAGGTGCAGCAATGCACACCTGTAATTTCAGCTCCTAAATCCACAGATATAGAATAAGATCTACAGCTCTGTTCAAGGCCAGCCTGACACAGCAATTATGAGATCACTTTTTCTCCACCCCAAGTCCATGTGTTTGACAAGGTCTCAATTTAATGTTGAGGCTGGTCTTTTTTTTTTTTTTTTTTTTTTGGTTTTTCGAGACAGGGTTTCTCTGTGGCTTTGGAGGCTGTCCTGGAACCCGCTCTGTAGACCAGGCTGGCCTCGAACTCATAGAGATCTGCCTGCCTCTGCCTCCCGAGTGTTGGGATTAAAGGCGTGCGCCACCAACGCCCGGCTGAGGCTGGTCTTGAACTCACTTTGTAGCCCAAACTTGCCTCAGCCCCCCCCCCCACATGCTCAAATTACAGAGTAAGCCACCACACCCAGTACTATGGTTTTGGGTCGGTGGGGTTGTTTGTTTTGTTTCTACTTTGAGACAGGGTCTTACTCTATAATCTTATCTGGCCTGGAATTCCATGTGTAGACTAGGCTGGCCTGAGACTCATAGAGATCCACTTGCTTCTGCCTCCCAAATCCTGGGATTAAGGACACACCTTGCTTTTTATTTTTGTTTTTGGAGTATTAATGAAGCTGGTCTTGAACTCTCAGTCTCCGTGCTTCACTCAGCTCAATTCTGGGACATGATTTCAGTCCTGAAGATTTTAATCTTTCAGGATTTCCTGTTGTTCTTGCAATGCACAGGAGGCAAACATCCTATCACTAACTACATCTGTGGCAGAATTCCTGCCTGGCGCCAGAGTGTTAACAAGTAGCCTTAATCTCCACTGGGCTACACCTGCCTCCTGAGCGCTAACACCTAGCCTTAACCCATCCTATGTTGAGCAGATACCTTTTGCCCCCCTATGTGAACCTCGTTTGGGATTTTCCCAAGGATACAAAGCCTATATAAATTTGGTTCTGGAAACTGGGGAAACTGTGGTACCTCATGAAGGGAGACTTTGCACTTGGCATTGTCTTTTTAGAAGGCCCATTCAAGTTGTTCTGGGCATGTGGTAATCAACTGACTGAAGTGTTAATACTGAGAAAAATAAGAGTCCCGGGGAGTAGGGGAAAATGCTTCAGTCCACTGAGGTTGAACACCCCCTGCAGCCTCAAAAAGCTAAGTTCATCCTTGAAGTGCCTGTGTTTTCTTTCCAAGGACCCGAGTGAACCCAACACCCACGACACCAGCTCCAAGACATACATCCTCACCCTGTCTTGTGGGATTTCAACAACTAAGATGATAGGATCATGCTTACTTACATCTTTCGGACCAGAGTAGAAAATCCACAAATTCAGGCACCAGAACTAAGCAGATTCATTCCCACACGTTAAAATTCCTGTGGTCTCTTACATTATGTTTTAAACATTAAAAGTATTAATTTGTGCTGGGGGTGGTGGCACACCTTTAGCCTCATCACTCAGGAGGCAGAGGCAGGTGGGTCTCTGTCAATTCGAGGCCAGACTGGTCTTGAAAGTGAGTTCCAGGACAGCCAGGGTTCTGTTACACAGAGAAACCCTGTCACTAAAAAAACTACTGATCAAGTTCCAGGACAGGCTCCAAACTACAGAGAAACCTTGTCTCAAAACAAACAAACAAACAAATTAATTTGTTTATTGATAGACTGCTTAGCCCAGGATGGCCTCAAATTTGGAATTTTCTGGCCCTAAGCCCCTGGAGAACTGCAGGATGGTGAGGTAGAGAGTGAGGTCAAAATTAGCATATGAAAGAAACCAGCTGGCAGAAAGGAAAACTGAAAATACCCAAACCAGCATGTCTGACAAAGCAGAGCACAGAGCCTGCACCATAAAGTGTGTCCTACAGAGGACCTCTAATAAACTGTCTCTGTCTCTACCTCTAATCTATGTGTCCCCATCCAATTCCTTAAAAAAAAGGAACTTGGAAATTTTACACATGTATATAACAAAGTAAAACTATAGAAATCTGTCCAATTTCTTGTGCTGGGACTTAGAAGTCCTATGATAGCCACTGTACTAAGATACCTACCAATAACAGTTGTAGCTACACACACCACCACCACCCTTATGTTGTCTTGCATAGGACCATTTAAGTGTCTCTCTTACAGTTTTCTATGCCTCCCCACACTCTTACTCTATAGAATCCATCCCAGGGCCTCCAGCACATTCATCATGTGCTCTATCACTGAGCGATATAAAAAGTCTGTGTGTGTATGTGTGTGTGTGTGTGTGTGTGCTTGCTTGCACACGCTGATTTCCCAATTCTGTTGTTAAGTCTAGATGGCCATCTCTTTCTGGGGAACTTTTTCTCCTGCTGCTGAATGCTGAGATTACAGGTAAGCCACTGTCTGGGCATTTATGATTGCCAAGGATTTGAACCCTGGTCATCATGCTTGTGTAGCTCCTCCCCAGCCCCAATTCTCTTTTTATTTTATTTATTTGGTTTTTTGAGACAGGCTTTCTCTAACAGTAACTCTAGCTGTCCTCGAATTCCCTCTGTAGACCAGGCTGACCTTGAACTCACAGAGGTACACCTGCCTCTGCCTCCCAAACACTGGGATTAAAGGTGTATACCACCATGGCCTGACTCTATTATTTTCTAAATGTGTTTTTTGTTTGTTAGATTGTCTTCCCTGCTTTTCGAGACTAGCCTGGTTGGCCTGGATGCTGATAGTTTCTGAAGAAATCTAACAGACACTATGTAGGTCAGGCTGGTTTTGCACTCACAGAAATCTGCCTGCCTTTATGTTTGAGTGCTGGGATTAAAGACACTGATGAATCAGCTTGCCTCCATTTTAGGCTTGAAAGCCATCTTAAAGAAAAGACAACCTAGGTTTATTTCTGTTTATGATTAAATCTGTTTCTCAAGGATTAGGCCATTTTTAACTACAAATGGTACTGTATTGCCTGTTCCAGAAAAAAAGCAACTATGTATTTGTTTCAAGTTATAACCATCTTGCAACTCTACTTGTTTTAAAAGGTATTATAACCACCTGTTGTTATGACTACTTTACTAGTTCTGCTTCTGTAACCCGTCTATTTGCCTGCCAAATTCCCATTTGGAAACCCCCTACTCTGGAGCTATTAAAACCTTACCTTCCCAGTCCAATGCTGATCTCTTGAAACCTGCCTGAGGGGATGGCAGCTCACCTACATGAATAAAAAAGCTTGCTCTAAAAAAGCAATAAAAAAGCTTGGCCAGGATAATTTGGGTCGGTGGTCTTTCTCTCTCATCTTTGGGATTACCAACACCAAGAATATTTTAGTTTTTTTAAGTTGGAATTTCTTAAATTTGGAGTAATGGAGGATGCATTGCATGGAGGTCTGAAGACAACTCACGCTCTCCTTCCACTACGTGGGTTTCCTGGATAGAACTCAAGATTATCAAACTTGGTGACAATCACCTTTACCCCCCGAGCCGTCCATTGGCACCGATTCTCCACGTCTAATGATTTGTATGCTTTTCTTTAAAACCGGCAGCACTCAAGGGACAGATAATGCATACTGTAACTTTACCTCAAACTTCTGCTTTAATATAAGATGCTAATACATACTAAAAACCCCGTTATGCCTCTCTTTTTGTGGCAGGACCGAAGACTCTAGGCCTACAACACAAAGTCCTGGGATGGCTTCTAGGTCCCTTGAAACATGGCCCCACCAAGATGGGGGCAGGGTTTGATTTTTCAGTCTCTGCCTGGGCTTGGCCTTTGCAAAGCTGGCAGCTTTTGTTTCTCTACCTTTGTCTCCGCCTTTGGTCCTTTGTCCTGCCTCCCGCCTGTTTCTCTCCAAGCTCTAGGCATCTTAGGGCCTCTGACTCCTCCGCTTGGGTGACTCCAAGCCTCTTATCTGTTTCTACATCTCTTTGTCTCTGGTACCCAGTCTCTAGCTCCTGCCTCTGTCTCTCCGACAGTGTCCTGACTCGTGACTTTTAGGCTAGGACCCGGCAGGCTCCAGCTCGGCTTGGGTGTCAAGCCCCCGCCCAGCCCCCACTCCGAGCTGGGCTTTGTTTCCCCCGCCTCAGCGCCCGCCCCGCCCGCTCGCCCGCCGGGTCTCCGTAGCCCTTTGTCTGCCAGTCTCTCCACCCCATCCCGGGGCTCCTTTCCCCGTTGTCCCGAGCGGGCAGCGGGCCCCACCGCGCCAGTTAGACGAGCCGGGGAGGCACGCCACTAACGCCGCAGGGCACCGCTACAGTCGTCCGCGCCGCCACCGCCGCCGTGCCCCGGCTCCTCCGGGTCCTAGAGCGGTTCGCTGTGGCCCGTGCTTCCGCTTCCCGCCCCGCCCCGCGGCGCCCGGGACGTGGGCCGAGCCCCCTCCCGGCGTGGCGCGGTGCTCGCACCGAAGCCGCTGGCTGCAGGTCCCCGCTGCGCCGCGGGGAAGGGAACGGCGGGTGCCCGCGGAGTCGCCGTAGCCGCGCCCCGGTCGTGGGCCGACGGTGCAGCGCGCGATCGAACCCCGGGGCGCCGAGCTCCGCGGACTGGGAGCGGCTGAGAGCTGTCGGCACAGGTGGGGGCGGCGGGCGCCGCACGGACAGGTAATGGCTTTTTGGGGACCCGGAAAAGTCGGACTTGGGCGAGGGGGCGCGGGAGCAAAATCCGAGGGCAAGAGCCAGCGTTTCTGAGCACCTACTGTGTGCCAGGCCGAGGGGCCGGCATTCTCCACAGCGGTCTCCCCTCCCTTGTGGGCCTTACTCATCCTTAGTGTCTTGGCTCTAATGCAGGCCTCTGGGCTCAATTGTGATAACCTCTCCTGCCCTTTCCACCGCAGCATGCCTTCTGCAGCTATTCTGGTGTAAATCCAGCCCTAATCCTGGCTCCCTTCTCAAAACCTTCCTCATCGTCCTTATTTCTATTAATTAAAAGCCTTAGTGAGCCTAGTGTTAACTACAAATCTTACTTACTCAGACTAGTCACGATATTCTTTTCCAAATAACCCTATTCCTTTCCATAGTTTTCTTTTTCTTCTTATCTATCGTCTGTCTCTCTTGTGACAACAGAGTTGTTAGGAACCCACAGTTACAGTTGTTGCTACTTTGTCTTTTTTCTTCTGCCACCCAGAGTATCTGTAGGGAAGTAAGAACATACAGGGTCATTGAAATTACAAGGAACAGAATAGAGCCAGTGGTAGTGACACCTACATGTAATCCCAGGAGGTTGGAGAATTCACAGCCATCCTGGGCAGTATAGTAAGAATGTTTGAAAAACTGAAGGAGAAAAACAAAAGAGATTCAATAGAAAGACCACACACAAGGTTTTCAATAGAGATATTGTTATTTAATACAGACTTGGGTACACCAGAATTAGATACTTGGCTATTCTGTAACTTTTGAACCTTTTTTGTTTTTTGTTTTTTGTTTTTTTTTTGGTTTTTATGAGACAGGGTTTCTCTGTATTGTTTTCGAGGCTGTCGGTCCAGCCTAGCCTCGAACTCACAGAGATCCACCTGCCTCTGCCTCCCGAGTGCTGGGATTAAAGGCTTGCGCCACCACCGCCCGGCAACTTTTGAACCTTAAGAAAATTACTTTAGCTGGGAGTGGTGGCACACGCAATTAGTTCCAGTACTTGGGGGGCAGAGGCAGAAGCAGGAGATCTGAGTTCGAGGCCAGCCTAGTCCTCAAAGTGAGTTCTAGTACATCCAGGGTTACAAAGAGAAACCCTGTCTGGGGCAGAAAAAAGCTGGGTGGTGGTGGCCAGTGCTTTAATACACTCAGGAGGCAGAGGCAGGTAAATCAAGACCAGCCTGGTCTACATAGTTCCAGGACAGCCTTGTAAAGTCTTACAAAACAAACAAACAAAAAAAAAAAAAGAAGGAAAAGAAAAAACTAATGTTGTGGAGTAGTTGTTTTTGGTTTTTCGAGACAGGGTTTCTCTGTGGCTTTGGAGGCTGTCCTAGAACTCGCTCTGTAGACCAGGCTGGCCTCGAACTCACAGAGATCCGCCTGCCTCTGCCTCCCAAGTGCTGGGATTAAAGGCATGCACCACCAATGCCCGGCATGGAGTAGTTGTTTAATTAGGTAAAGATGTGCTACATTCACTCATGCATTTGTTTAATTATGTAAAGATGTATTGCTTTGCCTGCCTAAGTCACCCTAAAAAGATGAAATGCCAGCAGGTAGGCGCAGAGGGATAGGTGGGGCTGGATGGCAGATAGAATGAGGAGAGACACCCCCTCCCCCACCCCCACCAGCCAGCTAAGACGTGGAGTAGGACATGCAGAAAGAAAGGTAAAAAGCCCCAAGGCAAAATGTAGATGAAGAGAAATAGGTTAATTTAAGTTATAAGAGCTAGTGGGACAAGCTTCCATGCCATGATTTGGGAACAGGTTGGAAGCTAAAGAGAAAGCCTGCTAGAAAGAAAAAAAGGGGGGGGGGAAAGAAAGAAAAAGAAAATTACTTTTACTTTAGTTCTCTTTGTTTCCATGAGTAAAAGAAAGAGGATAGTATTAGTAATAGGATTTTGAGGGTCCCATATTGTTTAGTTTAGTGATTGTTGATTAAAAACATAGTAAGCCAGGATGGTGGTGCTTACCTGTAATCCCAGCACTTGGCAGGCTGAGAATGGTGTTTGGTTTGAAACAAGTTCTTACTATGTAGCCTTCTTGGCTGGCCTTGAAGTCAGATCCACTTGCCTCTGCCTCCCCAGTGCTGTGGTTAAAAGCATGTGCCACCATGCCCGGCAGGATCGAAAGTTTAAGGCCAGCCTGGGCAAGTTATCTAAACCTGTCTCAAAACAAAAAGAGCTAGGGATGCAGCATGGTGGAACTTATAATTATTGAGAGGCAGATAATTTGTGTTCCCTAAGCTCCATGGAGAGGGGAAAAAATCAGGAGCTAATGCATTGTTAAGTCTTCCAGGGGAGTTAACATTAGAGGTAGAGGCATTGAGTGTCACTCCAGAAGCACTGGAAGAAAAAAAAAACGAGGTTGAGCCAAAGGGTGAGATGTCTAACTCTGTTTCCTCTGCCCAGTTCTAGGGAGTGAGAACATGGAGGCCTCTGCGGTGGATGAGTTTGAGCATAGTCCACAGGAGGAGGATGGCTTAGAGTTCAAGGAAGAGGAACAGTTAGCCCCAGGCCATGAAGTAGGACATGCTCCTCTCAAATCTGAAGCCATTCAGAACTGGGAAGACTTATGGGTTCACCAAGAGGGACTTGGAAAGCGGCAGCCTCGAGACCCAGCCCTCCGGGTCCTGGGAGAACCCCGCTGGGGACAGGCTAGTAATGACCGAGCTGCGGTGTGTGGCGAGTGTGGCAAGAGCTTCCGGCAGATGTCAGATTTGGTGAAACACCAGCGGACTCACACGGGGGAGAAGCCCTACAAGTGTGGGGTCTGTGGCAAGGGCTTTGGGGACAGCTCAGCCCGAATCAAACACCAACGAACTCACTCTGGTGAGAAGCCCTATAGAGTCCGGCCACCAGCCTCAGGTCCTCCCAAGATGCCTCGGTCTCGGATTCCTGCTGGTGAGCGCCCCACTATCTGTGGCGAGTGTGGCAAAAGCTTCCGGCAGAGCTCTGACCTGGTGAAGCACCAGCGGACTCACACGGGGGAGAAGCCCTACAAGTGTGGGGTCTGTGGCAAGGGCTTCGGGGACAGCTCTGCCCGAATAAAGCACCAGCGGACACACAGAGGAGAGCAGCTGCCCCGGCCGGTGGTTCCCCGACGGCAGCCATCTCAGGCAGCTCCAACAGCTCCACAAAGACCCAAGGCCCAGGACAAGCCATATATCTGCACTGACTGTGGCAAAAGGTTTGTGCTAAGCTGCAGCCTCCTGAGCCACCAACGTAGTCACCTAGGACCCAAACCCTTCGCTTGTGATGTGTGTGGAAAGGAGTTTGCCCGGGGCTCTGACCTGGTAAAGCACCTGCGGGTACATACAGGTGAGAAGCCCTACCTGTGCCCTGAGTGTGGCAAGGGCTTTGCCGATAGCTCTGCCCGGGTGAAGCACCTCCGCACCCACAGTGGCCAGAGACCTCATGCCTGCCCGGAGTGTAACCGCACCTTTAGTCTCAGCTCGACTCTTCTTCGCCACCGCCTTACCCATGTGGAGCCCCAGGACGTCGGTTTCTCAGCCTACCCCATAGCTCCCCTCATCCCCAGCCCCCCACCTCCTCTTGGCACTAGCCCCTCACTGACCCCTCGAAGCCCTTCACATTCCAGTGATGGGCCCTTTGGTCTGCCTGGTTTAGAACCAGAGCCTGTGGGCCCACAGGCTGGGGAGCCACCCCCGCCATTGGCAGGTGACAAGCCTCACAAGTGTCCTGAGTGTGGCAAAGGCTTCCGCCGAAGCTCAGATCTGGTCAAACACCATCGTGTGCATACAGGGGAGAAACCCTACCTCTGTCCTGAATGTGGCAAGGGTTTTGCTGACAGTTCCGCCCGAGTCAAGCACCTCCGAACCCATCAGGGAGAGCGCACCAGACCACCACCACCATCTACTCTCCTGCGGCCACATAACCCACCCGGTCCTGTTCCCATAGTCCCTCAGTCTCGAGTGCGGGGCCAGCCCTCTGGACCCAGCCAGCTTCACGTGTGTGGTTTCTGCGGGAAGGAGTTCCCCCGGAGCTCAGATCTAGTCAAACACAGGCGCACACATACGGGGGAGAAGCCATACAAATGTGCAGAGTGCGGCAAGGGCTTCAGCGACAGCTCTGCACGAATCAAGCACCAGCGTGGTCACCTGGTCTTAAGGCCCTTTGGGATAGGGGATGGTCAGTCAAGGCCCCTCCAGGAGGGGTCACCAGCTGGAATGGAGTGATGGGCAGTCCAGGGAGGATAGAGGCCCAGGGTACCAGGGCGGGGGTATTTGCTGCTGAAGGCAGAGAAAGGCCCGGGAAATGGTGGGAGGGATGAGAAGGATGAGAATCGATAGAAACAGACTGAAGACCATGATGTTCGTGCTCAGGAAACTCTACGTGTTGGGACCTTGCCAGTGTGAGCTGTATCACAGGTTCTAGAACAGTGCCTAGCACAGACTAGGTACTTCCTACTTGTAAAATCAGTCAGCTGGACGCGGCTCTAAAATCCTCTGCCTCTTGTTAAGAACTTCCCTCAGCTGGGCACAGTAGTGTACAACCTTTAATTCCAGCACTCAGGAGGCAAAAGGCAGACAGATCTCGAATTTGTTGCTCTACATAGAGAGTTCTAGGTCAGCCAGGACTACATGGTAAAGATAAATAAATAAATAAATAAATACCAAAAAAAAAAAAAACCTTAACCCTCCCAACCTCTGGCAGGGAGAACAGGGATTGTTTGAATTTAAGGTGTCAAAACAAGGCAGGGCCATTTTGGCCACCCCGAGGGGGAAGTATTGCTGTGATATAGGCAGTTTTCACCTCTGCCTGTGGATCATTGAACATGGTTTTATCCAGGAAGGGCCCTTGCCACCCTGACATTAGGACCCTAGTGAAGTAGAACCGAGCTACCAGAGCTAATCGGGGTACAAGACCTAGGTCATCGTGGACATTGATGCAAAGACCAGCTTTCTGAGAAGCAGGGCCAGTGTAGGCCAGAGAAGCTCCCAGTCTCCACAGCCAAGTGTCTGTCTCTTTACTAATAAATGGTCCCTTGTCTGAGGTTTGGTGTGTGGGCGTGTGTATGTGTGTACATGGATAAATACAAACCCCAGCAAGGGTTGAAGTTGGAATAGAGGCACTGTTGTAGGCAGAGCCCTCAGCCATGGTGAACTTATATGAGTCCCTTGCCTTAAGTCCATTAAATAGAAGATTGTCTTAGATGTTTTAGCTGCTTTCACTGGGGGCAGGTGTCATGGCTCATGTCTGTAATCCCAGAATTTAGGAGGATCACTGGGATCTAGGACAGCCTGGACTATGTAGTGAGATCCAGACCCAAAGAAAATCAGTCTTCAGGTCTGTCTGCTGATTTCCTAAGCTAAGGGCTGGTTGTTCACAAGAACTACGCTACAAACTGGAGCATGACCTTGAAAAATATGAAATGCCAAGGAGGGAAGTGAGGGGACTCGAGAAGCTGGAGGTCAGTGAGCCTGGCAGAATATTGCCAAACTGCCCACGACATGTTCAGAAAATCTGGATGCTAATTTACCAACAAGGTGGGAAGACCCACCTCAGGCCTCTAGGCGGTCCATTATTTCCCCAGCGCCAGAGCTTCCTCTACAGCAGGAAGCAAGTTCCTGTCTTGTCCTGAGTAAATTGTCAATAGGGAAAGAAGCTGGCCTTATTCATTAGCTCCATTCATTTTAGCTGGCAAGTTCCTGCCAGACAGGGTAACTCAGCTCATTGTCAGGCCCAGTCATAGACAGTCTCCCACCATCTTAGCCATCTGACTGGCTTCCCCAGAAATTAATTACTCCCGACTTGCGAAGTTAGATGCATACTTAAAACCCTGGAATTTTGCAGTCTTTTCCAAGGGCTCTTAGAGGCTTGTGTCTCCATGCATAGGAATCGTGTTGGCCCTAAATGGATCCCTTAAAGGGGCTTTTGGAGGACCCTTCCTACTTCTTTCTTTTTCTATCCAAGCAGACCCCAGTAAACTTTGTAAAATTCTGTCAGGCCATGTCCCTGCTCCATTGGAAACCCTGTCATCACTCCATAGAGTAACTCCTGGGCTGGGCAGATGGCTCAGTGGTGAAGACTTGGCTGTTCCCAGTACTTACAACAGTGGCTTACAAACCAGCACTAGTTCCAGTCTTGGGGATCTGATGCCCTCTTCTGAATTCTGCTGTACCAGGCATGCACATGGTGCACATACATGGATACATGCAAACATTCAATACACATAAAAATTTGAAATTTTAAAAGGGGAGGAGTTCTGTTTGTTAATTCCAAAGATGCAGAGAGATCACCAACCCAAATCACCATGGCCAAATTAATTAAAACAAGATTTTTATTCCTGTACAGGGTTGCCCCCCTCCAAGGCAGAGTTCAAGAGGTCAACATTGGATTTGAGGAAGACAAGGTTTTTGTGGCTTAGGGGTAGGGGGTTCCCAAATGGGGTATTTGGTAGGCAAAATGGGGTTACAGGAGCAAAACATAAGCATAAGAAGCTAACTATCCATACCTGCAACAAAGACATGATTGCAAGGTTGTTGAAACAAGGTAGTCATAACAACCATTTGAAACAAAGATACGGTTTCAAGATGGTGATAAACAACTTTTTGAAACAAAGACGTGGTTGCAATTTCCTGGAACAGGTAGTTCAGAACCACTGGTAGTTAAGGTTACATGTGGGGCATAGAAACAGATATAATCAAACAGATATGAGACTAATTTTGTCTTTAATTAAATGTCTTTCTAGCCTAAAATGGAGGCTGGCTGCTTCATCAACTGTTGCTTTTTACAGAATGAAGGGTTCTCTATTTCTTTGAGGATTCAGCTGAGACACTTAAAACTGAAGTTTAGAGATTTGAAGATGACTGATCCAAACAGCTGGGCTAAGCAGTCTGTGTGTCCTGCCTTGTGGATTTGAAGTTTTACTGAAGATTCTGAGGTGGAAGGCATGCATATTCAGGGATATATCTCCCTTTTCCCTTCTCATTGTGGATCATACATTTATAGATTATCTTTTTCCACATTCTTCTTGGAAAGCCCACAAGGGAGTGGGGAAGGATCAAAACCACAGTGAAGTAATATAATAAAGGTGGTCTTGGTTGTACATGTATGACAAAGTGCTGTAGGGCTATAGTTTCTTTTGTTTTTTCGAAACAGGGTTTCTCTATATAGCCCTAGCTGTCCTGAAACTAGCTCTGTATATAACCAGGCTGGCCTCCCAAGTGCTGGAATTATAGTGCCCATGCCTTTAGTCCCAGCATTCAACGTGAGTTTGAAGTCAACCTGGTCTATGGAGCAAGTGTCAGGACAGGCTCCAAAGCTATACCAAGGAACCCTGTCTCAAAAAATAAACAACAAAAAAGTATATATGTATACAGCGTTCTGCCTGCACACCAGGAGAGGGCACCAGATCTCATAGATGGTTGTGAGCCACCATGTAGTTGCTGGGAATTGAAGTCAGGACCACTGGAAGTGCAGTCAGTTTTCTTTCCTTTTTTTTTTTTTTTAATTTATTATGTGTACAACATTCTGTCTCCATGTATTCCTGCATGCTAGAAAAGGGCACCAGATATCATTACTAATGGTTGTGAGCCACCATATGGTTGCTGGGTATTGAACTCAAGACCTCTGGAAGAGCAGTCAGTGCTCTTAACCGTTGAGCCATCTCTCTAGTCCCTTGGCCATAGTGTCTTATATAACCAGAACCTAACTGCCCCTTTAAGAATAACTAGGGTTGGGAAGAGGGCTCAGTGGCTAAGAGCATTTACTGCTTTAGCAGAAAGACTTGGGTTTGGTTCTGAGCACCCATATGGTGGTTCATAGTCATCTGATACTCTAGCTCAGGAGATCTGATGGCCTCTCCTGACCCCTGGGGGCTCATGTATGAATGTGGTGCTCATACGTGTACTCAGGCACACACAAATACATATTTTTAAAAACTGCCAGGCAGTGGTGAAGAACGCCTTTAATCCCAGCACTCTGGAGGCAGAGGCAGGCCGATCTCTGTGAATTCGAGGCCAGCCTGGTTTACAAGAGCTAGTTCCAGGACAGCCTCCAAAGCTACACAGAGACACCGTCTCGAAAAAACAAACAACAAAGACAGTCAACAAGGTAGAGCTGCCTTTCCGTTACCTCATGCCAAGCTTCCCTATCAAACTCTCTGACTTTTTCCTTTTGAAATGGACTCTTCTATATCGATGCCCAGATGACTTTGAACTCAGGATCCTCCAGAGTAGCTTGGATTACAGAGGCAAGCCACCATACCCACCTTGAATTTTCCGTTCTTCGGTCTTTCTGTTTGTTTGTTTGCTTTTTTCGATAGAGTCTCACTATGTAGGGCTGCTTGGCCTTCAACTTACAGAGATCCACCTGCTTCTGCCCCCTAATGTTGAGTGGCATCCTGCCCAGCTAAAAATATCTAGCGGGGTAAGCAAGATAGTGTTGTATGTAATACTGTAGACTGGATTTGACCTTGCGCTAATTTTCCACCCACACTACCTGTTGTCAAAAATGCTTCCTTACTATGTAACTTGGGCAATCAGTCTTGGCAATCAGTCCTCTCTGAGCCATTTTGAAGTGCGTGTGTAAAACGGGGCCGCGATCCTTTGTGCAAAGCAAATGTGACCGAGTGTGTAAAACAGTCAGTAAACTGGCACGAAGGGGTACACAAGCCAGAAACCGCAACTTCGGCCTGCACACTCGGCTTTGGGGGAGGGGGAGGGGCAGAGCTAGAACCAGACTCGCCTCTAGATCAAAACTAACCATAGGGAGCCGCTGACTCACTGCAGGCGAAAGGGGCAGATTGGGCGGCCGTGGGTCTGGGCGTATGCGGGCAAGCGGTCTGGCAGGCCAGTAGACGAGAAGGCGACGCGAGAAGAAACAGGAGGAAAAGGAGGGGAAAGAGAGGAGGTAACTGGGCCGGTTCTCCAGGCGAGGCGCCAGCGAGAGGCCCAGATCCGAGCGAGAGCACGTGGCCTACGCTGGCGCAGCAGTCTCGGTAGGGCGTCGAGACCCAGCAGCGGCGGAGACCGGCCGAGGGCGGTCGGAACTCGGCTGTAGGGCCTTGAAGGCCGGGCTGGACGCCTTGTGTTCGTTAGGAGTTTCCGGATCGCGGACACCTCGGAGTCCCGGCTCCCCCTCCCGGGGCGGTTAGGGACAGAAGTCCGGGCCTCCGGCCTCTCCCCCTAGGGGCGGGGCCGGGCGTACGAGCCAATGAATGGCCGCCCCGGGGCCCCGCCCCGCCCCCGCCTCCGGAGCCGCGGCCTTCGCAGAGCACCCAACCGCCCCTCGCCCAGGCCCGGGGCCTCACGAGCGCCGAACCTCGGGCTGGTGAGTGCGCACCCCACCCCAGGGCCTCTGCTCCAGCTGGCCTCCAGCCCGTCCCTTAGCTCTCGGGTCGCCGACCCAGGCTCCGGGGAGTGACTCAGCGCGAGGAGGGTGGCAACTCGCGGGAGCTGGAGATTCGAACTGTTCAGGGCCCTGAATACCGGGATGAGTGGGGTGAACGGGTGTCTTCCGAGCTGGGCCTTGGGCAGTGCCGGAGCGTGGGGCCGGGCTAGGGTGGATGGGAGAGGACTAGACTCGAAGCCTGGACAGGGCGGGGGAAGCCACGGCTGCACCGCCTTGTCTGGGCCGGGGCCACTGTGGGGGTGGGGGCGGGGGGCGGGTCCTGAGCCTCTGATCCAGCGCCCCGCCTCAGGACACCAAGATGCCTGGCGAACAGCAGGCAGAGGAGGAGGAGGAGGAAGAGATGCAGGAGGAGATGGTGCTGCTGGTGAAGGGTGAGGAGGAGGAGGGTGAGGAGAAGTATGAGGTGGTGAAACTCAAGATCCCTGTGGACAACAAGGAGGTACGTGGTACACCCTGATCCCACCCCACCCTCGAACCTGTGCCTGGCCCAGCGTCCCTCAGACAGAATCAGGAATCCTAGTCCCCGTCTTCTCCTGGATCGCAGGTCTAGAACCTCAGGATTAGCTCATCTTCTGCCCACTGCTCCCGACCCGATTGGACAGATGTTTTGGCCCGCAGTGAGAGTCAGGAGTCGTGCC